GTGTATGCTACATTCACTTCATTATACCCTTTAATTAGTACGAGGTGTATGTGGGTTGGAGAGGTGTAAGATGTAAGAGGGGGTGCATTGGTAAATGCACTTGCCTTTCATTATTAGACTCCAAGGACTGGATCCTTCGAACAGATAATAAAAACTTAGAGGTCACTCAATCGCATTGGTTTTCCCTGAAATCTTCGGCAACTTTCCACAGTTTGACCTTACAAACACTTCAATCCGAGTGACATTGGTTATTTCTAAGATGAATGAAGTTTATTTTATATAGTTTAAGGATGAATTGTAACTTTGTATATCCATTTGTTAGTCTGTCTGTGTGTTGTTTCCATTGCAAGAGGCGTGAGATACATAGCTGTTGAACCCTGCAACAAATGTAGTTTGTAGTCTCATTTTAATTAACAGCCATTTTCATGTGATTAAATGTTGGTGGTCATAAGTGACCTACAAGATATTTCATGAACCCCCTTGACAGATTGATTTTTATATCCACACTGGTACTGGAGGTTTTACGCCTCACCCTTGGATAAGGATTAATCAAAGGCCTGGATAATCTTGCCTGGCTAATGATGATGGCTAGTGTGACCTTTATATCATTAAGTTCTACATCTAATTATTAGAGTGGAATTATTTCAGTGTTAGAGAGGAAAACTTGTACACAGGTAATCATACTATGCAGAGAACTGGTAGTGTAATGCATCATTGTTTCATTTTTGGTTTTCCAAATTTGGACTAGTTCAAGGTGATTAAATTTCATGCCAGTTTGTATATTGGCATCCATACATGTAAACAGATATATATAACATCTGTCTTTGATGACTGCAAATATAATGAAATTCCTGGCGAATATTATCAACTTTACAGTATTTTTTCTTGAAAATACACTTTTTCTTTCATTTTTATGACAATTTCAGTTGAATCAGATTTCTTCTTCATTGAACTTTCGAAGGTAAAAAGAAAAAAAAGTCCTGTATGAGAATTACATAAGTTTAGACGAAATTGTCTTTAACTATCTAATCAGTGTGTTATACATGTATTCAATTTCATGTAAGAAGGCTAAATAGGAAATATAATACTGACTATACAGGTGGGATAATGATAATACCATTTCAACTTAAATGTTATATTCTGGTGTCTATAGACTGAGTTTAAATCTAAAATACTTTAAATCATATTTATCACATGATAGCCTTGTTATTCACCGAACACATGCACGACATATTTTTGCTTATTACAGGTGTAATATAGCTTGACCTACCAATGGATACCATAAATATAGAAACAACATCGCTTCAAGTTTGCTGTAAAAGTTTTCTGATCTTTTGTGCCAGCAAATCAATCATGTGATGACAATGATCTTAAATTTGTTTCTGTTTATTATTTGATCTATGAAACTTGCCAAAGGCTTGATAAAATGACAACATTTTAGACTCATTTTAAAAATTCACATATTAGAAAGGAGCTCATGCAAGTTAGTTCTTACACCCTATATAAACAGTATGTTGAAATCTCATAATTGTGGTGTACCTAATTATTTTCATAAAAGATATTTTGCACAAGTTTAAACATGTAAAATTCAGCTGGAAAGGAACGTAGACTTGTTTCTGTCTCTTAAATCTTTAATTTGTTAAAAAACGTTAAACAACAATAAAAAATTCAATATCTTGGACTTAGGGGGAGACAACTTAGTAGCAGAATCCAGCTAAACAATTCTTCACCAAACATGGGGCTGGTAGCTATAGTCATTCTTTTAGAAAGGAAATCCTAAGATAGACATTGAGTTGATATTGCCTGTGGTGATATAATACTGTGAGTGTAAACACATGGTCCCAAGTTGAGTTGTACTGCTTAACAGTTTGTATACAAGATGTTTAGAACTTGATAAGATATTTAAGCCAGCTTATGTTACTGGTAAGAATGTAGGTCAATACATGTAATACTGGGGTTTAGTATACATGAACATGATATAATGATTGAGGACTGAATTCAAATGTTCCTATTCACAGACTTCAAAGAATATCGCATACAAAAAGATTATATTCTGGGGAAAAAAAAAAAAAAACTGAAAGGTATACTACCTTGTCATTGTGTCAATTGATATAAAATGACCAAATTTGAAACCTGGGAATTCTTCCAGATGGGGAAAAATACATCTTAGAAAAATTCTTAGACTATGGAATCATCTAAGATCAGCTATGTGATAAACATCCAATTCTACAACCTGTATAGATGGAAAACTAACCTGGCTTTCAATACTTGGGACTCAGTGTTGTACCAATGACTCTAACAAGAGTTATTTCCCCTTAGTATTTTCTCCATTAAAATTTATTATATGTTATGATACAGAAATACTTATATCATTGATTAACCTAAAGACCATGTTATTTGTTATTAGGAATAATTTTCAGGTCTCAATAAATGGAACTCTTTTGGAATGAAGATAGATTTAGCTCTTCAGAAATATGTCCTTAAAGCAATTTCAGTAACTGTAGTAATGGACACTGTTCTGTTGTATGTTTGTTAAATCTTAGTAACAGTTCGAGAGGTTGTCCATGTCCTGACTTAAATCATTGTAATCTTATATGTACCAGACCCAGTCAGACAGACACACAATGGAAGAGATCTAGGGGCATTCTCTGTTTTGTTTGTACAAAACTTCAGGATGTTTCACACTAGTATTTGTATCTACAGGTTGAGAAGGTGTTAAAGATAGTATATATACACCCACAGGTACACACTTATACACTTGGCGCCAGAAGAGACATACACCTACATATAGATACTTTAAATTTGCTGTCAGGAAAGAGCTCTTTTTCAGATGTACATTTTGCTATACACATGTAACCTGAAATGACACAACCCTATGTATGTACCTGTCACCACTAAGTCAGAAAAAACATATATGTACATGTGTATGGACATGATGTTCAAATGTGACCTAAAAAATCTTTACATTTACACTGTATAGTTGATAAAATTCATGGAGGGTTTAATTGCGCTATATTTGCTGTCATTAAAAACACTGAAATTGCATTCCCAGCAACCATTTATTATTATTAAACAAAATGTTAAGAAATCTGTGTTATATTCCTGTATACACAGATACTAATGTATCAACCAGCATGAAATTCAATCACTGTGAAATAGCCCAAACCATGGCGAATTCAAAATAATAGTGCCACACGTTAAACAGCTATACAGTAATGTTGGCTTTTTATAAAAATGAATGTGTTTGCCCTAAAAGACAATTTTCTACATTTATATAAGGTAAATAACTATATCTCCTAAAATGCATTTGAAATATTTGTATAAAAAGATATACAATATTCCATGGACCAGCAATTACTATACAATATACAATACACAATACTCATTGGTCTAGCAATAACTACACAATACTCAATGGTCCAGCCTTTACCATACTTTACTCAATGGTCCAGCATTCACTGTACAATACTCATTGGTCTAGCAATTACTACACAATATTCAATACTCATTGGTCCAGCAATTACTATGCAATACTCAATGGTCCTGCAATTACTATACAATACTCAATGGTCCAGCCTTTACCATACAATACTCATTTGTCAAGTCTTTACTTTATAATACTCAGTGGTCCAGCCTTTACCATACAATACTCATTTGTCAAGTCTTTACATTATAATACTCATTGGTCCAGCAATGACTATACTGCTGCTGATGGGTTATGAGAAGCCAGGTACATATAGGGCAACTGTGAAGACAAATATCAGATAGCAGGTAGTCAACATTTAGAGAAGATTGACAAATAAAATTGGCTATGTAGTTTTATTATCCTAGATGTTAAATTATAAACTCCAAATGTAGGTACAAAGTGTTTTTGGACTTTTTCCAGAATAGCTATTACAAGCAGATTTTATTCATGAAATAAACCAACAAAAAACCCATGTATTTGCTAAATATTTGAAAATGCATAATAATTGCTCTCTGTATCAAGCAGAATTACTTGTTTGATAAACAACCGTAGGCATAGACAGAGGTCAAAAGAAAGTAAAATGTTTGTTCATTAACTTGCCACTGTTACATGCTTGCCATAATATTACAAACCTGTATGAAATTACAAGTGGAACATTGTATTGGTTCACTTCACCAGTACAGGCAGATTGCCTTCCCAGGTAAAATGTACACAAGACAGGCCTTACATATGATGTATGTCATCTCACCTGCACAAAAGTTACCTACAGCTAATGCAAACATGCACTCTTTTGTCACTGCATTCAATTTTGAAATATTCTCCTGAGTTTTATGTGTTTATTTGTACAATTTAAAATGGTCATGGATCCAGTCTTACAATGGATATTGAAAACAAGATTTTAGCTCGAGATTATGGAAGTGTATCTATTCCAGCACTGTTAAAGCTCAGTTAGTGAAGGGCTAAAAGTATAATTTGCTAGTGTTTTGTTGGTCTCATCAAATCTTCTGCTCTATGTCTAACTTTTATTTAACTTTCATATTATACATACTTGAAAATTGAACTTACACATTATAAATACTTGAAAATTGAACTTTCACATTAAACATACTTGAAATTTAAGTTTAAGGAATAAAACACCAACATGTACAGGTGTTTGTCGTGGTGGCCTGTATTTCTGTCTTTACTGAGATTTCTGTTTACAAGGACAGGTCCAGGATTTTGTCAAGAGAGGTTTAAAATAAGATGGAAGTGAATTACAACAATGCCAATCATATACTTTCCTATGTATAATTTACTTTTAAAGATTTGTTCAAGGTCTCAGAGTCCCACCAACCCATCTTAATCCACTCCACCTCTGACCTGACCAACCTCAGTCCACACCACCAGTATTCCACTTCTTCCTTGAGATTCAATCCACCCCACTATACCCCCATTGCACTTTCATATTGGTATACTTACTAAGAAAATCATATTATATTTTGTTCATTGCCATTTTGAAATTTGAAGCACTTCAAACTCAATTTTTTTATTTCAGAAAAAAGCTGAAGGCAAGGAATTGTTTGAGCAGGTGTTTTATCATCTCGACATAATAGAAAAGGATTATTTTGGACTGCAGTATACCGACCATCATAATGTCAATGTACGTATTACACTACAGATGAAGTCGAGGTTTGATCATTTAAGTAACAGTTATCTCCAGCAGATGTCAAGGTTATTGACATGTACTGGTCATGTAAAGTGCTTTCAAAGGTTAAGGTGAATATCTTATAAATACTTTAAATAACACAATAGCTGTAACATGTATTATTAGGGAAAGGTGATTACCCTCTCAATCAAGACCACATCAATACAGACCAAGATTAAATTTTGATTTGTGTATACATGTATGTATATAAAAAATACAACACATGAAGGCCAAGGTAAGGTGAATCTACTGTAAATAATCATACAGGCAAAGTTCAAGGGTGAATAGACTATAAATAGTACATACGGTTAAAGTTCAAGGGTGAATAGACTATAAATAATGCATACAGGCAAAGTTCAAGGGTGAATAGACTATAAATAATACATACAGGCAAAGTTTAAGGGTGAATAGACTATAAAAAATACATACAGGCAAAGTTCAAGGGTGAATAGACTATAAATAGTACATACGGTTAAAGTTCAAGGGTGAATAGACTTTAAATAATGCATACAGGCAAAGTTCAAGGGTGAATAGACTATAAATAATACATACAGGCAAAGTTCAAGGGTGAATAGACTATAAAAAATACATACAGGCAAAGTTCAAGGGTGAATAGACTATAAATAGTACATACGGTTAAAGTTCAAGGGTGAATAGACTATAAATAATGCATACAGGCAAAGTTCAAGGGTGAATAGACTATAAATAATACATACAGGCAAAGTTCAAGGGTGAATAGACTATAAAAAATACATACAGGCAAAGTTCAAGGGTGAATAGACTATAAATAGTACATACGGTTAAAGTTCAAGGGTGAATAGACTATAAATAATGCATACAGGCAAAGTTCAAGGGTGAATAGACTATAAATAATACATACAGGCAAAGTTCAAGGGTGAATAGACTATAAATAATGCATACAGGCAAAGTTCAAGGGTGAATAGACTATAAAAAATACATACAGGCAAAGTTCAAGGGTGAATAGACTATAAATAATGCATACAGGCAAAGTTCAAGGGTGAATAGACTATAAATAATACATACAGGCAAAGTTCAAGGGTGAATAGACTATAAATAACTATAAATAATACATACAGGCAAAGTTCAAGGGTGAATAGACTATAAATAATACATACGGTTAAAGTTCAAAGTATATAACACATACAGGCAAAGTTCAAGGTGAATAGACTATAAATAACACATACAAGCCAAGAATAGACTATAAAAAATACATCAAGGTGAATAGACTATAGATAATACATACAGGCAAAGTTCAAGGGTGAATAGACTATAAATAATACATACAGGCAAAGTTCAAGGGTGAATAGACTATAAATAATACATACGGTTAAAGTTCAAAGTATATTTACTTTATATAACACATACAGGTTAAGGTCAAGGTTAATCAACTATTAATAACACGTACAGGTCAAGGGTAAAGGTCAGATGTCTTACTTATTTAGGCTTATGGTCATTGAGTTAGAGTCAGTTGTAATTGCTACACTGGTGACTAATTACATCAAAGTCATTCCACACTAACTGTATCATCTGTGTGAAGATTAGGAGTTTCCGGTATTATTGGGTTATCATATGGTAAGTGAATGATGTTGCAGTGGTGTAGGTGTATATAACAGCCATATGGTACAGACATCCCTATATACCTATATATTCAGTTGAACTGTTGATAAGATACCTGGGGCAGATGGTATGATCACAACAGAAATAGTGATGGGATAAAGTTATCGTCACTTAATCTAGTTACAAAATATTACTCAAGATTAAAAACCTCGTACATCAAAGAATAAGTGAATTGTAGGTTTCACAAAATTGTACTAAATCAGTATTAATTGCTTTATTGCAAACTTCGCTGTAAAAAGATTCAGTAGAATTAGTTATCAGGGGTATAGAACAAGAAATAAGTAAGTTAAAGAATATATTTAAATCAGGGAAAATTACCAGGTAACCACAAATGAAAAATATTGTGAAGTGAATGGTAAACATGTGTATTGTGTAATCACTATAATCCCATGAGTGAATATTTCTATCATTACCAAAGTCTAGTAAATGTGTAAGGGTCTTCCTCTTTATGATTTCTTAATTTATGTTTCAGCACTGGCTAGATCCAACGAAAAAGATCAAGAAGCAGGTCAAGAGTAAGTTATCAAATGAAAGATTTAATAAGGAAATTTATGTCATCACAAAATCTTTTCTGAATTCAACAAAATGGTGACCTATACTAATACCGTTTATCCGCCGTCTTGCATCGTGTGTCCATAAACAATTTAACACTTTTGACTTCTTCTCAAAAACCCCTGATCCAATTTCAATGAAATTTTAAAAGATTTAAAAAATCTTCTTCTCAAGACCCAGATATGATAGAATCTAATCTTCTTGAATGGAAGCATCTTAAGGTGCTTTACCAAAATTGTAAATTTCATGGCCTCAGGGTCTCGCATTTCCCCTCTGAAGGGGATAAAATTTACTATCGTTTATATAGGAAAACTAGATTTTTGAGCATAATTTGTTTAATTTCCATTGGAAATATTTCAGGTTTGGTTAGAATTATGAGTGAAGGGTAACAGCTTGATGGTTTGCCTATTTTGATCTTAACTGACCCCCTGGGGACTGAGGGGCGGGGCCAAAACGAGTCAAATTGACTTAAATTTGAAAAATCTTTTTCTCAAGACCCAAATATGGTAGAATCAAATGTTCTTCATGAATGGAAGCATCTTAAGGTGCTTTAATTACCAAAATGAATCTCACATTTCTTTTATAGTATAATATTTAATATTTTTTGTAGACTTTACTGTAATTTTCATAGAAAAAATTATTTTTGAGCATAATGTTGGTTATTTCCCACTGGAAATAACTTTATAAGAATTATCAGTATAGGATGACAGTTCTGATGGTATGCATGTAATGACACTGTCTATATTCAGTGTCACAATCTCTGTTTCATGACACTTGATAATTATCCTTTAACCTTTATATTCAATATTGCTTATCTCAGGTTACTTACTTTGTTGCTTTTCATTGTGATGTGGCAATTATAAAATCAATTACCATATATATTTGGAAAAAAGTCCATGCCTTGTGATAAGCCCACTTTTATATATCACTGTTCAATAGAATTCCCAGCAGGTTGATTGTCATCCAAGAATCCAACACATACAGTATGTGTAATAGGAATTCCATTTCAGATGTTGATACAGTTTCTGAATTTCTAGTCATGTAAGAGAATGTCTCGGTGCTGATCCCTGTCTTTTCCCTTCCTGATAATTTCTATGTACATGTATTTACTAACTACCTTGTATATTCTCCCAAAAGTCTTTTATATTAAAACAACACAGAAAATACCATTATATCAACAGAATATAAATTCAAATTTGATGAAACAAGCTAGGGCAAAATTTGACCTAAAGAAAGATTTACATGAGAATTTTTGAAAAATTATGAGGAAAGTATATGGCATCCTGCATCTCTAGAATAATTTCATATTAAGAAAAGAAATGCTTGTATGTAAAATGTTGCAGGTAAGATACTAGAAACTAGGTGATTAGTCGGTGAGCAATTTAACATTGTTATATATTGTTATTTACAGTTGGACCACACTATACATTCCGATTCCGTGTCAAATTTTACCCCTCTGATCCCAACAATTTACATGAAGAACTCACAAGGTATGTACAAATTCAGAAATACAAATTTTGGGTTATTTTTAACTATTGACATTTTGGAGTTGAGACAAAAAATCTGTTCAGTAAATTTCTAAAATTAAGCATTTACTCCTATAAGACTCAGTTCAAAACAGTAAATTTTAGTACCCAGGAGGGCTCAACCTGAATTTTTTAGCTGATTTTTAATATCAGGTTTGTCAGATCTGATTGTATAAACTAAATGTTTGATTCTTTTTCAGATATCAGTTTTTCCTGCAATTGAAAAACGACCTTCTTTCGGGAAGACTTGAAGCCAACTTTGAAACTATAATAGAACTATCTGGCTTTGCACTCCAATGTAAGTAAATCAGTTACTTGGTTGGGGGTTTCTTAAGTCACTATTTTCATATGAAATGCAGATATTTTTGGCGGATTGGTTTTCTCAGGCTAACTAATCATAGTGTGAAAATCAGGAAAAACTCTAGTCCATGGTTCTTTTGAATGTAATTTGATAAATTTTCATCACATTGTCTGTCGTACAGTGCTTAATTGTTTTAACACAATGATTTGGTTGTATTTGTGTAAAAGCTTCATTATAATGCTAATTTAAATGAGTAGGAAATACTAACACCTATAATGTTGTATCTATCCACCATTCAATAAGCCATTAAGCAACTAGATATAAATCCAACCACATCTGTAGAAATACCAACAAATATTATATCATTGTTCCTTTAATAAGGCCATACTTTGAAGCAGGAGATAGTGATAGCTCAGTCGTTAGAGCATTAGTCAGCATAACATAAGTTGAAGATCAGAGGTGCATTGTTCTACACTCCCTATCCTGCGGCAGTTTGTGTTTCTCAGGAAGCTGAGAAATAGACCAGTCCATGCTGATGGGGTTGTATCCTAGGGCAAGACACTTTCCAGTATCTTCTCAGGATAGCATGTGACGGGCCTTTCGTATGGTGTTCATTGAGGTAGCTACCAGCTACTACAAGGAGTTCTTATCACAAAATGACACTGGCTGTTCATGGGTTAATAAGCCCAGCAAAACAGAGAATAAAGCAAATCCTGCGATGAAGTTCAGGGGTTATTAACTAGGGTCTCTCTCATTGTCTGTCTGTTGACCACATAAACAAACTTCTCCCAAGCTGCTTCTGTGATTGTAACTGTAATCCTGAAATTAAATCCGCTATACTGACGTATTTCAGTCTTCAGGTACCAATAGTCAGGGCTACTACTGGTTATTATGGTACAATACCAGCAAATTGAAAGGTCATTTGGCTAGAACAATGAACGATAACTGAAAACCTAGCTTGAAACGGTTAAAAAGCAAGTAAGGTTGCAGGTGGATTCAGACACATTACATGATGTCAGCAACTCATGGCATATGAAAACTCATTCTATTCAGATGGTCAAGTCTTTTGTTTATGTTGTCAGTCTAATGGTAACTTTTATTGACAGCTGAGCTTGGTGACTATGATGAGGAGATGCACACACCAGGTGTTATATCAGAGTTCCACTTTGTCCCCAACCAGACAGAGGAAATGGAGCTGGCAATGGTGGAACAGTTTAAGACATGCAGGTATATAACACACTATACTCAGCTCCTTTGTTACTTTGAACCTCATTGTTCGGTACAGATGATTCTTTCTTCACTTGGCTGGATGGTAATATTCCCATCCTGATACACAGAACTGTAATTTAATGTTTCAATAAGAATGCATCCAGACATTTCAAGATTTTTTCACAGGCTTGATATTTAATGAAAGGGGGAAAAAAGAAAGAAAGAAGTCGATAGAAAGAAAAGAAAGAAGGAAAGTTTGTAACCAAATGTGGAAAAGGACCAAGAGATGTAAACATCTTCCAAATAACAAGGTTATCTCCCTTCAATTGTATCGCCATGCTGCTTACTGTTTCATGGTGTGATCACTTACTAGGTACCTGAGGCAATTGTACACTAATCTTTTTCATTTTGATTTGTGATAAGCTTACACATATTCAGCCTTTTGAAAACACTAGATAATGTTACCAAAACTTTTGGGATAAAGTAGGATTTGCCTGAATCATCCATTATAAAATGTGCTTTTAAATAAATTCTTTCTTTTTGTAATTCTTTAGGGGACAAACTCCAGCTATGTCAGAGCTTAATTACCTGAACAAAGCAAAGTACTTAGAGATGTATGGAGTGGACATGCATACTGTGATGGTAGGTACAGAGGGTTTTATAACACTTATACATGGGGTACTACATGTTTTTTAACCACCAGTGCCATTATTATACAGTTATCGGCTCATGTAAGCTGGTATTGATTGTTACATCATTGTTAGTGTGAGAAAATGGTACCGTTTCTATCACAAATGAATATTTTAGCAATCAATACCTGCTCACAAGACAAGACAGCTCACGAAAAGACAGAATTATCCTGTGTCTGGTAATAAGTCGACACATATCTCATGATACTCAATAGAATGAAGAACAAATGCTATTTTATTGAATCAGAAATATTGACATCAGGTAGTGATGTAAATAGCCTCAATATCAGGCTAGTACAGTCTGAGGTAAAGGTTTGAGGTGTGTGGTTTGATCCCTACTTTGGGATGGTTTGCATTTCTCTAGTGAATGTCTGAGCTGTGTGGTTCAATCCTGACTCAGGGCCGTTTGTGTTTCTCTGGTGAATATCAGAGGTTTGTGGTTCAATCCCCACTCAGGGCCGTTTGTAGTTTGTCTTGTGAATCCACTTGGGTCAGTTTGTGTTTCCTTGGTGAATGTCTGTGGTGTATAGTTTGTTTTTCTCAGGTAGATAAGGTCACTGATTGTGATGTGGTTATATGGTTAGGCAAGACACCTTACCCTATTTGATTCTGATACATGCTGTGGATCTCCAGCATGGTGTTCAGTAATACACTAACTAATGCAAGACATCCTATATCTGTATGACCTAGACTGTTCATTAGGAGATGAAACAAGCAACAAACCTGTCCACCTCAGTGATAATCAGTTAGTAGTTGTAAGTATTAAAACATTTTTTTATATAATTTTCAGGGCCGTGATGGGTCCGAGTATAAGCTGGGACTCACCCCAACAGGAATATTGGTATATGAGGGTGTTGCCAAGATTGGACTTTTTTTCTGGTATGTATTGTCAGATTTATTTTATCAAATTTCAAATTGTCACTACGGGTTCTCCAAATGCATGCAGACTTCATTTATTTCATCACTATATTGAACTATACAATGATTTATCATTATGTCACCACCTAACTGAACAATAACTTGATTTATCATTATGTCATCACCTAACTGAACAATAACTTGATTTATCATTATGTCACCACCTAACTGAACGATAAATTGATTTATCATTATTTCATCACCTAACTGAACAATAAATTGATTTATCATTATTTCATCACCTAACTGAGCAATAAATTGATTATTATTCCAGGCCTAAAATGACAAAGTTGGACTTCCGTGGGAAACTACTGACTCTGGTGGTGGTCGAGGATGACAATGAGGTATGGACCATTTTAGATATCTGATTGCCATCGGGTCTATATAGTGTTTGATCACATAGAAATCAATTACCTTGTGGGGAACCAATTGACTACTTGCAATAGGTATCTCCTTGTACAATCTATATTTTGTTTTTAATTTCTGTATATTGTTGGTTTTTGAAGAGACAAAAGTGAGTTCATTTGTTCAAAACAAAGAAGAAACAAAAAACTTTTTTTTTACATGTTGAACAAGATGAATCAGATTTCCAGCTGTTGAATTGAGAATAGACACATCATATTTTACTTTTTATATGTATGAAGTCTAACATTCATGTTTTACAGGGAAGGGAACAAGAACACACTTTTGTGTTTCGTCTTGCCACAGAAAAGGCATGTAAACATTTGTGGAAGTGTGCACTGGAGCATCATGCATTCTTCCGTCTTAAAGGGCCAGTGAAGGGACCAGGCACGCGGCAGAACTTCTTCAGGATGGGGTCGAGGTTTCGATATAGGTACATGTCTTCACAGGTTCATTGCATGGGTTTTCAATAAAAAAATTTCCTGATTATTAATGAAATTTTGAAAGACGACATATTGATATGTAGTTACATTTTTATCTGGCAGAGTTAGTTAATCAAAGTTTGACATATAATCTTCTTTTTCCCTTACATTATCATGTCAGAATATCATAAACCTCTCAACCAGTCTCATTTCCAAATTCTTTTATTGTATTTTTGAATCAGCGGACAATTTAATGCATTGTCACATGGCGCCAATTAATGCATAAAGGCACCACCAGAATGGACTAGCTAACATGTGAGATTCCCTTGTCTAATGAGAATACCATATCTGATATTTTGTATGGTGTTGTTCTACAAAATGGAAATGTGATATGATACATTTTTGTGTCGTTCTAACATTCTCAAGGTCATAGAGTCGAAGTCATTATCAGATAACGTGTCTCTAGAGTAAACCACTCTGATCAAGTTCCCATGATGTCGAGGCATACGCCCCTTTCTTACAAATTTCGGCTCCAGTTTACTCTGTGTGACTCAAGTTCTTAAGTTGAAAAACAAAGTAAAGTTTATTTTTGGAAAGATCATTATCCTGTAGAAGCTTGATTTCATTGGTAAAAATACCTCAATAAATATACTAATTTTAATAGTTTGTGGACATATGAATTTGTGGATTGAGAGCATTTTCAAAATAAATGAAAATAAACATTCTCAAAAATCTAACAATTCCTCAATATGTCATCATCAGTTGTTATGAAGTCATATGATTGAAAACGTTTCTGATAGAATAAAACTGTGATGATTTTTTGTCATACAATCTAATGTTTAATTTACTGTTTCACAGTGGGAGGACAGAATATCAGACATCTTCTGTAAGCCGAGCAAGGCGCAGTGTTCGATTTGAACGCAAAGGAAGTCAACGTTATTCACGACGACCGACTTTTGAGAAAAAGGAAAGAGAAGCAGCCATGCGAAGAGAACAGGAGAAGAGAGATGCAAAAAAACGAGAGTCTGCCGAACGACAGGATAGACAACAGTATGTGTAATTCAGTTGGCAAAGATTTAGTTTTGTGCTATTTAAAAGTTGCAATGGAACTTTACAGGTACACATGTATTAGATCAAGTCTTAACAAATTTAAAAATACACATAACAATTCAAACCACATACATAATTGATATATTGTGATCTAACTGTAGAAGATGAAGATATTGTTGCTGACTGGATGCAGTGCATGGACTCTTTAGAATTTCCTGCTTACGAAGAAGAATAATTAATTAATAAATGAATAAATATGTGGCCTTTATGTTTTGGCCAAAGTATATCTGTGATGTTGATATCTCCTTTGTTTTCAAAAAACATAATGACTATGGGATTAAACAAAGTTAATTCATCTTTCAGACAAAAAGCTATCGTAGAAACAACCATACCAGCTACCCCTGTCGCACCTGTAGCCTCGGCGTCATCAAAAGTAAAAACTCCACCCACAAGTCCTACCCCAAAGTCTCCGGTGACCAATGGTACTACAGGAGCCTGGGGAAGGCACAGAAAGTCCGAAAAGGACGTACCTGATGCTTCTTCTCGTTCCAAGTCACCTTTACCTGGGGCCTCTGGACAGGACAAGGATATTAATCTAAAAGGTGTGTAAAAACAAGGGGTTTGAGAGTAAATTTTCATCTTCCAATTGACTAAACCTATGAATTACACTTTTAGCAATGGATTGAAATAGAAGAGTAGATAAATCCATTTGTATTCAAATCCATGTCATCTATTGGTCACTTATTTTAAGGGGACATCAAAGTCAAAACATTAATTTTCGTATTGTTTGTACATATTTTATATATTTTCATTTATGCCGTCCCAATATTCACAGTCGATTTCCAGTGTTCAGCTTGACCACTTCTTTGGTTTTGGAAACCCCTCTCAAATTTAGCACTGGTCAGGTTATGTAATAGGTGTGGAAATGAGGCATTCATTTTGTGAACACAAACACATGAGGGCGAGCAGAAATGACAGGGACAGTAGTGATATAGTCAGTCAAATACCTTTTTTTCAGCACCAATTTTGTAATGGACGTGGCAAATGTTGTTTTATAACTCTATGTCAAGTTAGAATTATAACACAACCAACATTAATCGTTTACAGGCGACAGTGTTTCATGGGCATGTGATATATGACAAAAAAATTTATGTATCCAGACTGTTGATTAACAAATGAGGAATTCCTTTTTATAATTATTAATTAACATCTTTATGAACATATTTCTGCGAAAACTAACTGTCATTGTTCATAAGGTGATACACTTGATATATAGAGGCAATTATAAAAAACTCAGGAAAAGAAAAAAATAGGTTTTACCATGATGTCACTTTAACAGTATTCAAGTGAAAGCATTTCAGATGAATTTGAAATTTTTAAGGCGACAACTAATATCATCCCCCAACTATGTAATGGTGTTGATGATACCTATGGAAACATCTGTATATTAGTCTTGTCTTGAATGTGTTTTTGTGTATTATTTTACATGGGCTTTCTTGGGAAGAGGATGCATTATTATAAAAAGTCCCCTATCACCTTATTCAGCTCAAATTTGGGATGAAAATTTTTGAAAAATGAAATGATATACCAGTAGCACAATTTTAGACCATAAAAAAAATTACGTAGCACTTTACACTTTTCATTTCTAAATGTTTGTTTAGAAGCATCAGAGGCTGCCCAAGCAAAAATCAAAGGTCTGGATGAAACACGACCATTACGACCTCCGGTACAAAAGGTCAAACCGGATGTTAACAGTTTCCAGAACAACCAAGTTAAATTTACAAGTGGTCCAGCAGTTATCCCTCCTGATCAGATGAAGTGCAATATTCTCAAAGCAAAGATGGAAGAAGAGCTCCGCAAAGGTAATTCAAAGAGAATTACTAGAGATAGCTGCTTAAATTCATATTTATGAAAAAATGCTTGAATCTGAATTGATGTACACTGGAAATATCATTATGATTAAGTGTTTGTTATTAGTTCAAATTGAGAATGGGGTTGGTTGGGCTAGTGATGGAGTAATGATAAGGACGATGATGGGATATAAAAGCTGTATTTCCTGTGGAAGAATGAATCAAAATTATCCATTATTTCAACCCCGATGGAAACTTAGGCCTGCATTTTCATGTGGACCTTTAGTGGTCTGGAAAAATCGCAAGATTATAATCTTGATCATGGTGTTTTACTTTAAGGACAACCAGAGATAGAGAGTGAAGCTGATGAACATACAGATGAAGAGGAACAAAGGAGGTAAGGTTTTCAAAAAATTCATATCTTAAATCATTAAATTTGTCATCTGCAGATGAAAATTGATATAAAAATGATGGGCAAGGTTGGAGAAGTTAACACTGTAAAGTGGTTTTTTTTTTTTTTTTTTTTATTTGAAATTTGAAGAAAAAAATCTGTTTCTCCTTTACCCATGAAAACAATTTTTACAGGAATATCATTAGATATGTAAACCACAGAGGTGTGAGGATAGTCTAATATATCTTAATTCTAGAAACATGTCTAATCTGACCAACATGTGGTGTCATAAGGGGCATCTTTAGCTGATAGATTTTACTCAGGAAGAAATTATTTACTCTCTCATTTCTTGTGTTTGAGGTAATGAATTTAGGTATTTCTGATCTATTTCTTTTTGTCTAATAGCCTTGTTCATTTGTGATTTCAAATAAAAAAAAAAAAAATAAGATTTGCGGATTTCAAAATTTTTGACATCACAAATCACAAACCAATATAATGTATTTTCTGTGATACTTTCATCCAGAGTTAGACGCCCTTATTACTTGTGAGTAGTTTCCACATCCATTGTGTCACACACTGTCGTCCATTGACAGTGTCTGCAAGCTTTGTATACCTGTTACCTCACATGTGAAATTGCCTTTCATCCAATACCACACTATGTTACTGTTGCAATGATATGTACATGCCATTATTTGTCCGTATTACACAGAATGCACCATAAACATGAAACCCACAAAAGTTACCTCCCTTAGTTATTGTGAAGCATCAACATATCTTGTGTGGTATATTTTGAACAATTGTGGTGCTTTGAAATTTCTACAAATATTTAGAATAAAAATAAGACTTTCACTGTAGTATATTTAGTGAACCTTAGTTCTCATGTAGTTTCTTTCTTTTTGAGGTTTAGAAAAGTTCCAAATTATATTCAGATTGACAGAAACACAAAAAAAAGAGATAAAATTAAATTTCACAAAATTGATCAATAGACAAACAGTTTTTCACAATGAAATAAGAAGGAAATGTTTTTTCACAAATTAATGGAAAGGTATTGCCATTGCTGTCTTAAATTTGTACTTCCAATAAACAATATGTCAGATTTGTACTTCAAACAAATAATGTGTCATATTTTTACTTCAAACAATTGTAAATGATGATGTAAGTATATGTAATATCGGAATAGATGAGAATAATTACTGATGTGTGATATGCAGAGCCACATATCTGGTTTAAGGGGACAGCTTGTATCCTATAAACCTACACAAACACCCTACCTTCACCTCTACCATTCCTCAGCTTGTATATCTGTACAACACAAATCACAGACCACACCACAGTCCATCACATGTGATATAAATGATCTTAATATTGTCACTTCTCCCCATGTAACCACGTCTTCATAATATCATGATGGATGAAAAAGAATTAAAATATTTATGATTGATAGGAATTTCCAAAAAAAATTATAGATATGATTAAAAAAAATGTAAAGTATAAAATTTTAGTAACTTTTCTTTAGAAAAAGAAAAGAAAAGAACAAAAAAATGAAACAGAATGTAAACTCGAAGGATCTGTTTGAAGAAAGTATTTCAAACATTTTTTTTCTTGACTGCAAAACTTATTCTTAAGGAAAATATCATAAACAGACATATTTCTATACTTTTTAATGCAATTAAATTTTCAGTGCAAAAAATAAGTTTCTGATCACTTACCTGCAGTAATATTTTGTAAATATTTATCATTATGTGAAACTGTACAGATAACAAATTATTTTGATGGTCATTAATGTGGAATTTTCTTCTTGTTGACATCTATTACATTCCCTATTGTGAAAACCATTATAATAAGAATATAAGTTTGAAGTGTTATGTCTCTTTGCTGAATGAAGTATTGAATAGCCTTGAAAGTTAAATTGAATCTGTTTTTGGTATGTTTTCTTGCCAGTGCTTTCTTTGCATTATGAAACTTGGGCAAGTGTGGAAATAAAATTGCCTTTTTTGTGAATTTTTCATTTTAAAGTTATCAAAATTTTTCATGCATTTGAAAGCTTGCTTAAATGTTCCTTATGAAAGTAAGCTAAGTAGATTTCTGCTGTTTGTCTCATTGTGCCCTATTCCTTTTTATAAAATATGAGTTAACTGCCCATGTGAGCGGGTATTGATTGTTTTTTCATTGTTTTTGAAAAAATAACGTCAGAAATTTCTGAGAAATCGACATGATTTTCTCACGCAAACTAATGACATTATATTCAATACCTGCTGACAAGAGCAGATAGCTGTGTGTTTCAAATTTGACAGAGTTTGAATGTGTTTTGAATTAGATTATTTCTGATTCTGTTAGTATACTATCTAGATTAAACTGTTCTTGGCTTTATGCTTTAATTTTTTTTTCTTAAATTCAAATAAAATAAAACAAAAAAATTATACACTTATAAAGCATACTGTGTAAAGTTAAAAAGACCACTTTCATTTGGTTTAATAAGAAGGGTGTAAAAATGTCTACATTTTGAATTTGCAAGGAAATATTTCAAATTAATTTAGCCTTACAAAGATTGTACAGTCATGTACTTGGAAATTAAATCAAAAATCAATTTTGTAATCTAACAGATTTTTTTTATTTCCAATTGTTGTGTAAATTTTGTTTTGAATATTGAACAAGCAGTTGCAAGGCAAAGTACTTAGTAACATAATTATGAATATTATTACAGAGAAAAAAGTTGGTTCAAGTGTTGAAAATAGAAATTTGATTTCTTGCTTTTAGGGTTTAATGTCATCATTATTGGATTTTGAAAAAAGTTATTAAGCATGCATATTTCCCATCCTGCATCATTTGTCTTGTGGCCTTATTTCATTCCCTTGCTTACAGCGACAGTAACAAAGATGAAGAAAGCGAATCTGAGGATGAAATCAGCCGCACCAAAAAGGGTTTGCGCGTGGATATTAAGTCAGTCGAAGATGACAAGGGACAAGTCAGGTATATATTGTAATTTTACTTAAATTGCAATATATACTCCTTTTTAGAACTAATAATTGCTAATAAGAACAATTCAGTCATTTGATTTATAAAACTTATTGATCAAACGTTCCTGAACTTCTATTTTCATTAAATTTGAAAAATAGAATCAGTTTTGGCTTCGCACCCTCCCCATGGTACAAATCAAAGTCAAACAAAAAGAAATAAAATGGATGTTACAATCATTTGTTTGTCAATGTTGACAAACTTGTTTTATTAAAACATTAGAACCATAGATGAATAAAAGACAATATTGATATTAATTAAACATTATCTAAAAAATTACAGAATTAAAAAAAATCTTTTAACTTTTTCTTGTTACAATTTTTACTTATGACATTTAACTTATTTCTGCATGCATTAGTATACTGTAAAATCATGAATTTTTGTGAGGATTTTGTTTTCGTTGATTTTGTGGATACTCATAATTCACAAATATATACATGTCCATGTACTGTTGAAATCAGTAGTAGTCCTGAACTATGTTAATCCATGAAATCAAGTGTCCACAAAACTTTGAGCCTCACAAAAATAAATCATTTTACAATGCAATATATTCTTTCTAATAACATTGTAAGGCAGAATTTATGTAATTCACACTCCTGTCTATACTGATCTGTACTCACCTCTAACTGTCCAAGTGTATCATACCATCAATTGTAAAGCCAGGCATTAACCACTTTTTAACACTAATTAACTAAAACTCTCATCATGTAGGGAAAAATGAATGCATTAAGCTTAACAATTTTATTCAATAGTAAGTAGATCTTTTTGAGATTATTTACAACCAGAAAAAAAATCGATTATCATGACAGCTAATGTGGAATTGGAAATGTTATTTTCTCTATTGTAAATATACTTAATTTCTTATTGATGCAAAAAATGTTTTTTGGGACAATGGGGCCAATGATCAATTAGCACATCCTTAATAACAGAGGTCATTATTCATTTCAATGCCTTCACTAGGTTTCACATCCAGGATCTCTGGCTTACTATTCTGATGCTCAGCCGATCAAGCTAAAGAGATGTTCTCTCTAACCAAGCTGTATTTTGTGGCTAGTATTTTACCAGGTTTACATGAAAACCACTCAGGAACTGTGATTAGCTTAATCATGACATAGGATTTTAAAGAATTTCTCTACTTACCAAACTGGGCCTGCCAACCTAATTGGCTCAACTCCACCCGTTCATTCAAAATTGATTCCCCAATGATGCTTCAGACCAAAAACCAATTAAATCAGATTTAGTGTTTAGTCTTGCAATAGATAATAACAATTGTATCATTGTAGGTACATCTGAAGTATTTTGTTTTTGTTTGTCTCTTAACAGTACAGCCATTTTAAATTGGAACCTCTTTTTTACAGGAAAAGTCTGAAAAAATGAATGATATATCAAAATTTAGACAGAATATTCAAAAGATATTTAGCTTAGAATAAACATCAAAACAAGAAAAGTATTAATTCATTAAAGTAGTTGCTTAGAATATTTAAAAAAAAAAGCCATTTATAGTTTAGAACACTTTTCGACTTGGAGAGAGAGTGTATGGAGAATGAGTTTTGCTGATGATCCGGGTCTAGGTTATTGTGGTTTGGGCAATAATTTGGACTTGGAAAATATATTAGTCAAGGCATGCTGCACTGGAAGTTTTACTTGGTATGTGTCCCACAGTATGGCTCGTGTGACCATGGTTTTCAAGCTATGCTATGTATTGTATGTTTTTTACTCATTTCTCTGCACTTACACTGCCTGCTTGTTTTTCTTTTATTATTAGTTTTTGTATTAATTACAGGACAATAACATAAACTAACCTATTACCAATATGATATGATGAAGTTCTCAGAGATTCATGATTTTCTAACCTGAACCAACATGTTGTGAAGCAGAGTTTTGCTAATTTATCATAGATACACTATGAAGTTTGTTAAAGGTCATTGTAAAATAATTTGACTGAAACTGGAAAACATTTATATATACCGTTAAATTGTCAGTGATTGTTTTGATCTTGATTATTAAATACCTTGTACTTCTTTGAACATCCTAACAAAAAAACCCACATGTTTGAAAAAACATATCTGTAGAAAAATAAAAGAGATTCATTAATTATGAAGAAGTTTAAAAAAGATATTTTAATCTTTTGAAATAGATTTAAGACAAAAGGAAAACTAATAGTTTGTTAAAAAGATTAAAAATAGTGGGAGACTTAAGAAAGCCCTTGAATTAAAAATTGGAACAAATCTTATGTAACTACATGTCATTCACGAAAATTGACAGATATCAAAAAAGTATATACATGTTGAGGAGAAATAGCTCTGTGTTTCAGTGTTACAAACCTTACAAAATTTGTTTTTCAACAAAATGTTGAGCATTTAACTTTTCCTTCTTTTGTTATCTAGTCCGAGGAGTACACATAGTGACAAAGTGTTCCATGGCTCTGTATCATCTGGTCCTAGTGTCAACAACTCAGGGTAAGTAGGTCATAGAGGTCACAGGGTAAGTAGGTCATAGAGGTCACAGGGCAACAAGGTCAAATATTTTAACAGTATTCATCTCGTTTCAAAAGTGAATTCAATTGTAAAAAAAAAAAAAAAGAAAATTTAACAGATGATAACATCAAATATATCATCATTGAATAGTGATTTGGTCAAATTGTAAAAAAAAAAACCACCACAATTTATAAGGTCAAGTAGATAGTTTTATTTCTGAAATTAAAGAAAAGGAGGAGATAAGTATAAAAGGTATCACAGATGTCAAATGTAAGCATTTAGCATCAAAATCTGTATGTGAAATGGTCTTAGTAGTTTTGATTATACCAAAAGCTTTTGTTTATAAAGAGGGTATAATTGTGTCCATAGGTCTGATAGTGGCAGGTACGCTTCCCCGCCCGTCACAATTTTTTCTGTAGCATAACACAAAAGCATGAAGAGGTATCAACATAAAACTTCATAGGTAGATAGATCGCAACAAGGAGAAGTGCAGTGCATCACTCTCTCGTGAATATTGTAGGAGTTATTGCCCTTCGTTACTTTTCGTACTTAAATTTTGTCCTGGGCATTGCACTAAATATATAAGAGGTATCAACATGAAACTTCATAGGTAGATAGATCTCAACAAGGAGAACTGCAGTGCATCAGAACTGTCACTCTCCTTGGTATATAACTTGGGAGTTAATGCCCTTTGTTATTTTTCATACATAACTATTTGTCCCATTCGGAGAGCATAACTTATCTCTGATGACCCTTGTTAATGATATTTACAGTTGAAATTAATGTCGCAGCTTTGCAGGTAAGTATAATATATATTGTGATAACATACAATACATGTCTAGGAAGTTGTCATTTAAGATTGAATATACATACCTAAGGAAAGTATTATTTCAATGTTTGATGTATTTTTCGTGTCTTCCTTCATTAATGATTAATCATTCATGTTGTAGGGTTGAAGGTCAAGCCCGTTTGACCAATCACAACAATGATGTGTTCATCTTGACACCCCCACCCAGCAGTATCACAAAACAGGTAAATGGAAGGCACATCTAGTATGTAAAATGTTTCTTTCTAATTTTTGTCACACCATTTTTTTTTTAATTCAAAATTTATAGTATTGTGGATACGTTTCCTGTACTGTCTGGTGAAATCGCTAGATAAAAGTAAGATATGGTGGAATACGATTTTGAAAAATGAACTGAATTTGAACAACTCAGCGCAGTAGAACTTATACTTATTTCATTGTATCTCTTTGCAAAAGAGTTCTATATTAAGGGGTTAACAAAGAGTCACTTTCATAGAGTAACTTTAATTTGCTTGTGAATTATTTGTTAATCTTATTCTTGATTCTGATTCATAAGATCATGTTCAAAAATATTAATAAAGGGAGATAACTCATATGAGAACTAAATATGTTTGAGAAGTGTGAAGCTGTTACTCAGGAATTAAGATGATTATTGAAACTGTAAATATTTTTGAATCAAATTAATCTTACTTCACTTTAATTGGTAGAGGAGTATTGTTTTGAAATCTTGATGTGTTTAATTCTTGTTGAGTAAATTTGAAGTTGTCTCTTGATTTGAGAAGAAAGCCTGTTAATCCATTTCTCAGCTTGTATTTTGGAATCTATCTTTAAATTAGTGTTTTTGAAATAAACTTTTCTAAATTATCAGATGTTTGACTAACAGTGTTTCAAAGAACATCTAGTTTCGCTTATTTGACAAGCATGTGGTACTAAAGCAAAGGATATATAACAATTTTTTGAGAAATTTTGTGACTATTGATTTTTTTTAACAATTATTACTCATTGACAATTTGAACAAAAAGAATTGCCTCCAAATTTCAGATTTTCATCTTTCCGGTACAGACTGCAAGCTAATTTCAATTTGATTTACTTTTTAAATTTTTTTTTTTAAATCTTGATTAACAAACAAAATTTAATGCAAATATTTTTACACTTTTCTTTTCAGTTTTGGGGAAAAGTAATTTTTAGAATAATATATTATTTAACATAATGGTGCTAATATACCTATATATATATCATTGTAGAATCACAGGTAGTTTTAATCAATATTTCAGGTGACAGTCACTCATAGTGGTATATCTAGCACTTTGACCGTTGTCCAGTTCTTATAGTGTCCAGTTTTGTTATGTGTCCAAATGTTGTCTTTGACACTGTTTTCATTTTTTCATATTTCATTTTCCATATTGTTCATTGGATATTTCGAATATGTTGTGATTGTTAATTGAGCAATTCACTGAAGTTAAAATGTTCTCAACAAATAGTGTCATCCCTATTTATCTCCCTTCATGTGTATTGTTTAGTTTCCAATTCCTAGCTAAATTACAAAGCTTTGGTCTTCTAGATTTCTTGATAGCAAAAAAGTTTAATTTATATTCTAAGTTACCCAATTGTTTGTCTTTATAGTATAAAACTGAAATTCGTTGAATATCATTTTGAATTGGTTATTCAATTAAACAAGGAAAGTACAAAAAAAATAGAAAAGAGGTAAACAGCTTATGAAGATTGGAATTGAAACAAAAAACAGATTTCTTTTATAATTTTCTCTGCATAAAAATACAATAACACTAGAATTTAGGGTTTATTTTCTTTCATTTTGAAGTAATTTTTGTTACCTGCTTTGTCTAGTGCAGCTGTTCTGCAGCTGTATCCAATGCTTTAGTGACACAATTTTCTGTTTCCTGATTAGGTCTCTATTTATAAATATTGGGTGGAATTTTGAGATAAATTTTTTAGACAATTTGCTGCTTCTATTCTTTATGGTGGCCATGGTTGTGACGTGTGATTGGTGAATTTTACACTTTGGAAGGTCAACAAAACATTTACTGAGGGGAAAGACAATAAGAATATTGATTGGTTTAAAGGAATTTGATTTTTGTTATTGCTTTTAGAATTAAGAACAAAAGTCTGATATTCAGAATAGAAAAGTTGAAAAGACTTACGAAATCAAAATAATTTTAAGAAATATACTCTTGCATATTTATTTCATTTACTTTTACTGAAGGAGGGGGAAAAAAAAGTAAATTTCAATAATGTTTTTTTAAGAAAGATAAAAAATTTGATTTTTCAAATGCAAACTCAGTCTTAGAAATAATAGCATTCAGATGATTTGAAGCAGTTTTATTTTTATGACTATTTTGATGAAACGCTGATTTTACTTATTTTACTATAGTAAATGTTATGTTGTCTTGAGTTTTATGGTATTCCATTCTACTAGTTGACTGTAGATTGTTTCTTTGCTTTTTGTAATGTACAGCCGACAGTGAGCACCACAAGCACAGGCAGCACCGCAGACGGTGACAATACAGACTCCCCACCCCCTGTGGTCCGGGTTCCTAAGTCTAGGGTATTATCTACTGACTCCGAGTCTGAAAAGCCGACCTTGAGAATGCCTTCCTCATCCTCCAGCCTCAAACAGCCTCGGGTGTCGTCCACATCCTCCTCTGGGTCTGTTTCTCCCACTAGCCCTCATATCCCGACCACTCAGTCCACTGCCCCTGCTAGACCCCCACCCCCTAACCGAGGAAGCAACATCCCACGCTTGTCAAGTGCTAGTGAGACACCATCACATGGTAATAATGAAGATGGGGAGATAATTATTGACTTTCCAACTCTGGAGAAGAAAAAGGATAGCAAAATCCCAAAGCCTGCCCCAAGGTCTAGTATTGCATCTCCTAGTACTAATGAGGCCCCAACTCCACCCAAGAGCAAAATTCCTCCTCCCTCTATGATTCCCTCTCCGAGGACTTCAGCCAATCCATTTGCAGCCCCTGCCCCTCCACTACAGCAGAACCCAAGATCCACAAACCCATTTGCTGCTCCACCTCCTCCAAGTCAGATTCCTTCAAAGCCAAGAATGATTACACCTCCAAAGTCTACAAACCCATTTGCTGCACCAGCTCCCCCTCCTCCTCTTCCCAAAAGATCCACCAATCCTTTCCTAGATGATGAGGAAGAGATTGAAGAATCAAACCAACCCTCTCCTACATCACCCAAGCCAGCCTCCTCCTCCATACCTAAATCCCGGGAGTCTCGTATTCCGAAACTTCCCACAAGTCCTACCACAAAAACTGATGACTCTCTTAGGAACAGTTTCAAAAAGGAGAATACTGGGTCAAACAAGAGTCCTACAAGTCAAGATGTGCCTCCCCCTAGACCCCCAAAAGCCCCACGAACCTCTGCCAATCTCAGCTCGATCCCTGTACCCAAATCTGCCACTCTGGCCTCCCCTACTGCTGGTCAAGCCTCGCCCACTTCCTCCCTTTCCACCACCACTACCACCAATACCAACAACACCGTCGGCAAGAAGGAGCAGACTGGGATTCCCGCCCCTGTGGTCATTGTAAGTTTTCTCTCAGCAGTTATTCAGGTCCCGCGTGTACAGAGAGATAATGTTAGGTAGCTTTCTATATCTGGTCTCCTGAAGTGTCTCAACTGGTGACAAAAACTCATAATCTCTGTCTACTGCATTGAAAACAAAATACAGGAAACACAATGGAACCTGTGTTGAAAGACAAAAGTGTTTCATAATGTTTCTAGCAAGACTGATTCACTGTGAACTGGTTTGACAAATTTATTTGCTGATAGAGACGGTCTTCTTAGAAAAAAATTCTGTCAAGAGAATATTACATTCGATAATTTAATTTTTATCTTGCTTCCTGGTAAAAATGTCTTGTTTATAGAGGATGCCTCTAGGAAGATTTCGCTTCAAATTTACAGACCTTGAACAATAACTGACGTCAAAGTTTACTGTTTCACTGTAAAACAGTATTGATGACGAGTCATTTGAGCCTTTGTAAAGTTGAGTATCCAGCAGAAGAGACCAGATGTAGAAGTTGTTGACAATTCTTGTGTACATGCATTGGCTGTATTTCTACATTTTTCTATTTTTCTTTTTTTTTTTTTTTTGCGTTTGGTTGTGGTGCATTTTAGCCGCTGTCAATGTCAAGCTTTCTCCCCTCTCTGTTGTGTAAGTAGGTGATAGTTAGCTGGGTCTATTTCACAAAGTAACCAGAAGACCACCAAATTGGGTCACAAGTTTATACTCATAACTGTAAAATACTACTATATTTATGCTGCAATAAATCCAGACAGTCAAAACATTACCTCTGACTTACAGTCAAGGAGAGTACTAATTACAAAAAAATTCTTACTTTTATGCTGAAACTAAATAATGTGTGGTTGGCTTATTAATAACCGGGAACTGACCTCTTACAGTTTTTCTTTCTGAAAATATTGGCAATTTTTAAAAACATTTTTATGACACCTTGGGAAATCATACAATCTTTGTGAAAATGACCTGGGTATAGGTTGGACTGATGTACTAACCGGTACTACTTTGTATTTAGTTACTTCTACTCACAGATCATGTTTTATTTCCCTTTTATGCACCCATTAATTATGTGATTTAGGAATCTAAATATTATCATACAAGACTACAAAGTTCTAGAATACCTGTACAGTCCAATAATGACCATGTGTTATGCTTTCTTTTTTGTATATAAAATATGAGCATACAGTGCTTTCAGCAAATGTCTGTCCTTTTGTCTGTCTGCAATGTATTAAGGTCATGTCTATTGTCTACATTTGTTGTCATCATGTCATGAAATGAGCAGAGATCTCCACAATATTTTGTATAGAAGGTAGCTAAACTGGGATAATTTATGAAGCTGAGGTTGTTTGACGTTTGTGCCTGTGGATTCCAATGTTGTTTAACTTGTTCTCATTTGAGAAGGTGACAATACCTACTTGGCCTGACCAAGGTTAACATAGTAGTGTTTTCAATGAAGCAGAAGATGCTTACTATTCCAGAACAGCTGGTCTTATTCTTGTACTTTTCAAAAGTCTCTGTAAGTCTTTCTTTTGTTCATAATTTGCCCTAGTTTTTTTTTAAAATTTGAGTTTTAAATATGATTGTGTTGACATGTTGGTATTTTTCGTGTTGATATTGAATTTGAGTTTGGATTATGATTGTGTTTTGTGGTTTTTTTTGCATTAAAACATTCTAATCTAGCATTTAAGACAAGTTTCACTTAATACATGTAAAGTAAAACATTGAACAGTAGAACTCCTTGGGATCATGTAAAAAATTTGAGGAATACAAAGTATTAGAGTAATCGGAGGTTGGTCAAAGCAGCTTGTGATCATACTTGAACACCTAGCATCAGTGATCATACATCACCCCAAGCATCAGTGATCATACATCAACACCCAGTATCAGTGATCATATATCAACACCCAGCATCAGTGACCATACATCAACACCCAGCATCAGTGATACCCAACATCAGTAATCATACATCAACACCCAGCATCAGTGATCATACATCAACACCCAGCATCAGTGATCATACATTAACACCCAGCATCAGTGATCATACATCACACCCAGCATCAGTGATCATACATCACATCCAGCGTCAGTGATCATACATCAACACCCAGCATCAGTGATCATACATCAACACCCAGCATCAGTGATTATACATCAAAACCCAGCATCAGTGATCATACATCAACACCCAGCATCAGTGACCATACATCAACATCCAACATGAGTGATCATACGTCAACACCCAGCATCAGTGACCATACATCAACACCCAACATGAGTGATCATACGTCAACACCCAGCATCAGTGACCATACATCAACACCCAACATGAGTGATCATACGTCAACACCCAGCATCAGTGACCATACATCAACACCCAGCATCAGTGATCATACGTCAACACCCAGCATCAGTGACCATACATCAACACCCAACATGAGTGATCATACATCAACACCCAACATGAGTGATCATACATCAACACCCAGCATCAGTGATCATATATCAACACCCAACATGAGTGACCATACATCAACACCCAGCATCAGGGATCATACATCAACACCCAACATGAGTGATCATACATCAACACCCAACATGAGTGATCATACGTCAACACCCAGCATCAGTGATCATACATCAACACCCAGCATCAGTGATCATACATCAACACCCAGCATCAGGGATCATACATCAACACCCAGCATCAGTGACCATACATCACATCCAGCATCAGTGACCATACATCAACACCCAACATGAGTGATCATATGTCAACACCCAGCATCAGTGATCATACATCAACACCCAGCATCAGTGACCATACGTCAACACCCAACATGAGTGACCATACATCAACACCCAACATGAGTGATCATACATCAACACCCAACATGAGTGATCATACGTCAACACTCAATATAATGGCACCACGAACTTGAGAGTGCAAGAAATGGCAAAATAACATATCATTTTGTAGTTAAATTTAGTACGGTAACCAGCTAGAAGTTGCTGATGAGGTGTAACATTGTCAGGTTATATCTAGATAAATTGTAGTCTATTATTAACCCTCATGGTATTGTACTCTGGAAGCTTGACATTGCATACATGTATTTTCTTAAATCAAATGTAATACTTGGGACCTGAATATTTAAAGAATGAGAAAATTTGCTGAATAAAGTATAAATTTAATGAGCAGTACATTTATATACCAATTATAAACTAATAGTAGGAAATAGTTTTCATTTTATTTAAATACTTAATTATAGAATAGATATTTAGAGTATGATAGTAAATATATTGTGTATCCCTATTTACTGTATTTCAGGATACTGTAATTCAGATCTCAGTATTTCATTCTCATTTCTATGTTGTTGTTTTTTTGGTTCTGTTACCATAAATATCAGTTATTTGATATTTTAATGATACAAAATATCAGTAGTTTTTTTCTGTCCTAAAAAAGAAAAAGTGAAAGAAAAGAAAAATAAAATTTCACATTGGCATTATTTTCGTTTCATATTGCAAATATTTGCTTTCTTTCTATAATATATATATGTATATATATACACACCCCTATATGTAGAATCTAGTAATATTGATGGTATGGTCCTGTATTGGTACTGTATCCTAAAAACAAGTGTTCGTTGGATGTGTTATACAGGAGTAGATATATGATTAATAAAGTACCTAATAACAACAGTACGGACAAGTGAATTGTAAAATTTTCGAGGCAATCTTCCTCTTTATCAAGACACAAATTTTAGATAAATTACATTACATCCAAAGAACATAAAACAAATACAAAGTGTTAGATTGAGAGTGGTGGTGTAAATTTAGGTGTCTCGATAATCCCTTCGGCTGATGGACACCGAAGGCCCTTTATACGGGTTGTGCGGAAGATGGTGATTGAAATATCAAAATTGTTTTATATCAATCTCTCTATGCTTTACACTGTAGACACTGAGTGTATATGTGATTGCCACGAAAACAATTGCATGTCACACTCTGAGGAAAGTGATTTATCCTGATAAAGGGGCAAGTTGCTTCAAAAATTTTGTAATTCACTTGTCTGACTATCATTATTACTTCATTGGTATATTATTTATATATATTCAGTCTAGCAAAATGATTTATTTTAGGAGAAAATAATAATCATAATTAATATGTTTTCATAAAAGGTAAATTTATAATAGACATTTGTTTACCCAATAGCCACCTGATTCTATAACGGTCATATTTATAGCTAATCAAATATTCATGTGTCTGATTTCAAGTGCAAAATTTGGCCAAATTTGCATGTTGCTATTTTTGTATATTTTGTGTCTGCATTTGTGTTTCATTTATCCAAAAAGTGTTCTATCAAGTATTTGCTCGCGATGTATTCTTTTTTCTTTTTCGCTTTTTGAGAATGTCATTTAATTTGCATATTGTATATCATAGCATTTTGATTGGTTGATATTATGATTTAAATAGATATGATTCTTGCAATCAAATTATGTTTAACAAATGCATGATTTTAGGCATGATTGATATGCAAATGAAGTTATTGTTTCTATTGAATGTAAACATACTTTTATATTCCTATTACACTATTTTTGCATTTTTGATTTTGTTTTTGATTTATTTGCATACATTATATGGTGATTTTTTGATTGGGTGGTTTATTCTCCTCTCTCCATAGACGTCTAGACGCAGACCTTGCCCTAACATGAGCGATAATGTGTAGTGGTTACGGTAATACATTGTACGACCCGCCAGTGGTCTACTTTTACAGCTGTGTGCACTTTTCTGTACCTACTGTTGCCTAGCAACAGAAGCACGCAGTCACTTGTCTCAGATACATGAGTTGCATGATCTAGTTCTGGATTCACATGTCAAGGATCTCTCAATTTCACACAAAACAAGGAAACAATTCTCATTGCACTTCTTTGTCAAAACTAATTTTCATTATTTTTCTTGAGCTTGACTGATCTGTCGCTTAACGAAAGCTTACATTAAAACTTTCATTTGGCTTAACAAGTACACTTTATAAAAAAGTATAAGTTTTGTGCTCAGTTAGCTCTCTTAATCCTGATGTAAGGGTGGCAGTTATTGTTATACCAGGTACTCAGAGTCAAGTTGACATGAGTTTAGTCTTCAGACCTCTTCATTTTAAAAAGGTCGTACAGGACAAAAACCTAGAAAATAGCAATGTTCAAAGGGTTCTGTATTTTCCTGTTTTTCAAAAATGGAATAATTTGAAAATAAATGTGAAAGAGAATTCCATTCCTCTTTTTATGACTTCCTTTGGAAAAAATAATTTTCACTGATGCAAGCTTTTGGGAAATTTGAACTACAAAAAAAAAAAAGGAAAACAAATATCTTTACTGTAAGTTAGAGGTAAAATAGTGCTAAAAAATTAAAAGATAAATGTGAAGGTAGGGAAATTCTGTTATGAGCAGAAGGCATGGATGAAAACCATGAAAACTGTGGATAATCTTACAAACATTCAAAATGTACAACTTCTGTGTTAACATTCATCCTCTTGGATTGAAGTTAAAATGTAAATTTTTTGATGATTGACACCAAAGATGTGTAAAAGTTCTATGTAAAATATGTCCCTTTTAGCGTTAACCTGTATCTGAGACGGCTAAAGGCGTTGCTTGCTTGCTATAGAGGCTTTCTTGTAGTGTTTCTTCTTCTTTTGTTTTTTTTTTTTTACATCAGTAACTTTAGTGTTGTCTAGATGCATTGTTATTTGGTGACAGTTTGAAGAAGAATAATTTACTAATTTCTGTTTTGTAACTTTTGTTTATAAATGTAGATTATGTCATTGATCATTCTAGGAATGGTAGGACTAATATAGACTTAATGTTTTACAGTGCACATACTAAACAAGCTTTATCATTTTAACAGGATAGATAGAACAAAACTGTAACAATTTCATTTTTACTAAAATATCACGTGTCATACTCTGTTAAGTGAAGAAGTTGCCTAACCCCCCCCCCCAATTTTTTTCCCTCAATAAAACGTAAAATAATTTTTGTTTCAAAATTTAACATCCTCTTATAAAACTTCTTAGTTAATTCTAGAATTTGTGTTTTCATTTGAATATTTTAGAAAACGTATAATATTAAAAAAAACTTTGAAAATTTTGAATCATTTAGTTTGTTAAAAATTTGTGGTGAGTTTAAAAATCTGTTTATTTAATCAAAGCTCCCTGTGAATTTATGAATAGGTATACTTAAGTAAGATATATTAATTCAAGGGCCAGTATACTTATTTTAAACTCCTTGAACTAATTCTGCATATTTTCATTCTGTGGTCACTGTTAATGCATAAAAATCTTGCTTTTTCATATGTTCATTTGTTTGGAAAATAACTTTCTGATTTGAGAAAATATGCATCATTGAATATGTCTCAGAGTAATATTTCAATGTAATATTATATATGGCTGTTCAAAATGTAACCATTTAATGAAGAAAAATACAGGTGTGGAAACATAAACATATTACTGTCTTATAATTCAGAAATATTAAGTAACTTCTGGTGTTGATATATTAGCTGTAACTTTCTACCCTTGATGGACACTGTTCTTTCACACATCACAACAGATAAACAGAAGCTAAACGAAAAATTCACACTCAAATCTGCCTATTGTTCATAAACAAATTTTTTTTGCTTATTAAAAGTTTGTATAATTTCTTACTTCAGTTTTACATACTGGTATTTTTTGTTTGTTTGTTTTTTTTTTTGTATTAATTTTTTCCTGTATCTATATGTGTTAATTTCATGCTTTAGTCAAAAACATCTGTTAGAATATAGATATGGGACAAGAATACATTGTACATGTACTTATTTTGAATGTGATATCATGCCTGTAATTGCATATCCCAGCATTATACCGACTTTTATTATGTAGAACCAGCTCAACATATAGAATATACATGGTATATGATATATGTCATATTCTGTTAGATTGCCATATAAATAATCACATATTCATCATATATTCTGTATACATGACACATCTATAATTTTTTATAATTTAGATTAGGTCCAGTTTGGATTATTTGTTACCCCTTCAAATTTAAGTTCTAGATAGGTATAAATGATAGGAATCAGGGCATTCTATCAAGGTTTGAATGCTGTTTGATATTGCTGGACAAAAAGCTATATCATTACATACAGTAGTTTAACCACACGGTGACGGGGAAAATTCATTATTTATGTGTGGTGCTGGAGAAGGATATTATTATCAGAGAGAAATGATTGTATTGTCTAACATTAAAAGATAATTTAATACATCATAATTAATATGAAATTATTTTAATAGACATTAAAGTTGTTTGATAAAGAATAACTGTGTGTCATACATAGAAATGTATCTGTAGTTGTATACTGCATGGCATGATCTATATCTAGAAAACTTAGGTTGACTTTTTAAGAGTGAAAACAAAGTCTTGAAATAACAAACAACCTCTGTTTTGCATGAATTAATGCCTTACACTAAGAATAATTTAAATCAATTTTTCTTTAAAAAGATTAAATGATTCTCTGGCTTATTTTTGTGAAGTAAAACAGCTCTACTATTGTACACTTAAATGTATGATTAAAAATTTGGAGATTTATAACTGCATGACTTGCATGGAAGAAAACTACAAGTTTAATTGAATTGGAAAATTTTAGATTAATTTTTACAGATGCTGTTATAAGAGATGAACATAATTTTACATGTTATATGCTTTGTCATTTTTCAGGAAACATCATTTTCCGGGAACAAGATGGTGACACGTACAACCTCTGCAACAAGTACAAAGAGTCTACCAGGTGGGCAAACCCATGTCAGTCACATGATCACAGTGTCACGCAATAAGTCAGACTCAGGTAGTCGCAACACTGCTATCAATGGTGATGGATTATCACCGTGGCATGTGGAGCCACAGGAAAAGCCCCCTGTACAACGGAAAGTCACGCTGACAACAGAACTGTGAAGATCTTAAGTCATCCATTAATTTCTCTGTTCTTGTAATTCACTTACGAAGAGACGCATTATCATTTTAAAGTTCAGCTTCTTTTTTGCCTTTCAGCTTTTATCTGTTATGTTTAATATGAGCAAAAATGCCTGTATATTTCAGTTGTTGGAAAAATTGGTTCATAGCATAAAGAGATTAGAACTCTGCAAGTTATACAGTTTGAATATCAACTAGCATAGCAGATAAATTGTGTTGTCTTTTTTAATATAAAGAAAAGAAGCTCCTAGAATGTTGACCAATTTAGAAGATTGGAGCTAAATAAACTTACAGAGATATTGTTTTTTTTTACATGGATCAAACTGAGAGACGTACAGAAACTTAAATGGAACAAAAGAAAATAATTCAGAATCATATTTTGTTAGGAGTATTGTAGGAAAACCTATGGTCATGAACCATGCAAGGAAGCTGGTCTTTTTTCATGTGCACATATTACTAAATTTCAGGTTTTTGATAGAAAGGATGTTTTAAAAGATAAGTGAAAGGGCTGCTTTTTAATTGTTATCATATAAACATTTTAAAACAAGGATGACTTGATTAGCGTCTGAATCTTTGTCATTGTATAGTTGTTATTTTCTTTGACAAGGAAATTTATTGTTGGTTTTTATGTAAGACAAGGTTGTCGGAGCACTGACTTCAAATATCATGTGGTATTAGTGTTTTGATTGAATTTTTTTTTCTATCACTTTTATGAGTAAAGATCTTTGTTATGATAACAACCAAAGTCTTGTAATATGTAGAAGATACCAGTTGAAAATTGTCTTTAAGATACACTGTTTTACTATAGCAAGCATTGCTTTATATTTTATTAGATATCCTCTATGCTTGATTATCTTACTGCTATATTCATTAATGGCAACAAAAATTACATATCAATTATAAACGATGCAAAATCATGTATGATGGGGTGTATTTTTAGAATTTGTACACATAATATAGAATTTGAATATAAAATACATATCAAACTATTTGGGGGCTTCAGACAGTTTTAAATGTCCTGTTAAAGTGTCTTTGTGTATAATGATGTGATTTTAATTAATCAACTTTAATGAATTGATCAATTTTACATCTTGGAAGTTTAATTTTATCTCAAAATATTTGATTTTCTTTAAATATTGAAGAATATATATTACTATGTATGATACAGCACCATAATAATAGGACTTTTTTTTTAAGAAAAACATTTTTGGTCAAATTGCTTTTTTGATGAAATGTATTTCGAAATCACATGTTGCCTAATGGGTATTGCTTGAAGGAACTCCAGCTGAAGCTGGACTGAAATAGTTTTGGATTAAAAAAAAAATACATAGGATTCCTTATGTTCAATTCTTATCTACAAGACGGGAAAATGTGTTGTTCTAGTCAAAATGTGACTCAAGACTTTCTACTAATGATTACGAGGAAAATGGAACTAAGATTAATATGTAGCATAATCAGAAAATATATTCGGTTAACCTATTGTCATGTGACTAGAACCAAAACAAATAACTGTTCCACTAGCCGTGTATATAGATAAGGACATAGATTGTGAACCATTTTTAAAGGTGTTGAGGTGTCCTGGAAAGCTTTTTTGTTGTTGACTATTGTGAACTTCTGATTGTGTGTTTGGTTGTGGACACGGACAGAAGAATTACTGAGTTGTAAACAACCTTGTCATAAATTATCAGATTGGACATATTTTGTAATTTCATCATCAGGTCCGCTTGCCCATCTTTCATTATACATAGACATTGATAGTGGCATAAAGGAATGGTATAGGATTTCAGATTGTAATGTTAAGCATTCTGAATACCAGAGCTTGCCAGAGTATATTGTGCACGTGACATTATCATCGTAGATTTGTTATCAATTGTGAGTGTTCATCAATCATTCCATTTTACATATTATGTCTTGGATCTGTCAGGTCATCTTTAATCTGGGTTATTTCTTATTTCAGACCAAGACTTTAGAACAAATTAAACATTTCAACATATATATATATATACATATAAATATATACACATAATGTCATGTTATTACATATTACTGCTGTCAAAATGAAATTTTGCCAGCTTCTGTAATTTCGTTATTTCCAAAATATGTTGTTTGTTACTAATTTGGAATTCTGCACTAACATTTACATATACACAAGGAAATATTTTGATTTAACCTTGTGTATTAGTAGAAATAAAATCATTCCATATTCTTTTACTTTTACCACAAACAATAAATTTGGGTACAAATTATGTTCAATTTTCGTACGAAACTGCCGATAAGTAGGTAAATTGAAACATTCAAATGTGATTTTCAAAAAAAAATTATTCAAGCATTCCTTTAATGACAAGTGATTTTTTTTCTGTTGTTAAATAAAGTGGGTATTAGATATTCATCATTCCAACGTTTTAAAGGCTCTTGGTTACTGTTTTCTGGTGGAGTTGGACATGAAAGATTTTAATCTTTGTTTGTCCTTCAGTTTACAATAGGTTGTGGAAAATTTTACTCAATGTTATAAGTACTTCAATTCAGATTTTTTCTCTTTTTTTTTTTTTTTTCAAAGTTAAGTGTTGTGGCTAAGATATTACATTTTATGATACAGGTTTTAGGTTGTGAAGTTTTATTATTTTGGTAGCACATGTATATACATAGTCATACCATGATCTGGTTGAGTGAAATAAATTACATTGTAACAATTTAAAAATCTTACCATTCTGTTTATACTGAAGGTATAATGGTGGAACATTTATCGACCAAGTACCTGATGAAGTTTCTTTATTTCATTAAGTGTTGTTAAATATTTTCTGTCTGTATAAATGATTACCTATTTTTGCCCTATGAATGACACTTGTAAACTATGATATGTATTTGTATTGTGGGGATTTGTCATGGACACACCCAGTGTCCAAACCTTGACAAGCATGTGACAGTCACTGTGAAGCATTCTAAATATAACTGATGTTTTACATTTCTTTTGGTTTTTAAGGTAAGTCCTATTTGTTTATGTCGTGTGTCATCCAATTGTCCATGTTTAAAATGTGTATTTGCCAATGATAGTATTTTCAGTTTTTTTTTTCACTTCTTGCCTCCATTTTTTTCTGTGTATTTAATATGTTATGTGTAAAAATGTTGCTTGCAAAACATCAGTGATTTTTATTCAACAAAGATTGAATTTCTGCTTGACTTGCGATTTTTTTTTTGTTTTCAGTTTTAAAGAATTTGTTTCATTAAATTACTTTTTTTGTATTTTAATTCCATTTTTTTTTATTGTTTAAAGTCATGGTTCATATGAAAATTGTATTAATTGTTTTATTGAGTACAGTTAAAAGCAGTAAACATGCGACTTGTGTAAGGAAAGTTCCTCAAAATACAAAGGGATCTAAGGAAGAAATTGAAGTTGAAAAGTTTTCTTTTAAAAGCTGAATAATTAGATTTTGGTGCTGACTTTTAACTTCTATCTTCAAAAACAGAAAAAAATCCCAGGAAAAAATTTAAGTACAAATTGGTATAAACAAGTCAAAATCAGTATTAGATACAATGCTGGAAGTTCTGATCCGAGACATTTAAAACCAGAAACGGTGAAAAGTCTTTAAGTTCTATCTTACATTAGGTAATTATATTTTGGCTCCAGCAAGGAACGTACCCTGAAGTAAGACCTCTCCCATAGTGTAAAAGTTAGAATTATAATTTAGGGAGGACTTATTTAGCTACTACTTTTACATTACTTTGATAAAATTGATGATTTTGCACAAATGAAGAAAGGGGCTTATTTGTGGCAGGGGCTTACCTAACTGGAAATATAACTAGATTCTTATGATGTTAAATTTTGTATATATGACTTATTTCTGGGCTAAGTGTTGTATTTCATCTGTTGTGATTTCACTGTGTTGACTTTGTACTGGGGTGATTCCTACTAAGTAATATTGATTCAAATACGCAATTTATCCAAGGATTCCGTATAAAGCTTGTCAGGTAATGAAAATAGGGGAATACATAGCTCTGTAATAGTGTTATATTCACACCAACTGTGGGGAAAGAAAATCTGTCACAGGCAACAGTTGATTCAATTTATAATATAGTAACTGACTGTATGCTTCAGGAATATAGACATTTCAGTAGAAAGTTGGGACAACTTTAATTGTATCTCATGGTATGCATGCTAACAAAACTTTTTACCCGACTCTTGTCTTTCATTAGGGGCTCTTCCTGGACAATTTTATGGACAGCTGTTCGGTTCACCTTACAATTTAAACGAAGTAAACCCCGCTGTGGGAAGGTAACATAAAACTGTATAAATAGGGGGATTTAATGTCATAATTCTATAAATACAATCTGCATAAGATAAGGTTAGTCAAGATGTATGTATGCTTTAATTTTTCATGTCGATTGAGGGTGTTTGATAAGACATGTTTTGGTTTATGTTGAAATAGGGACTAAAATTGATCAGAAGGATAATGTACCTTAAACTGAGAAAAAAGGAAATAAAAGATATTACATTTTAAAACTGAGAATAAGGCAATTAATATATTCAGTTAATAAATTAGTGTTATTGTGCACTGAAATAGGGATTTAAGGCCATTGAAGTTGTAAGACACTAACTGGGGTATGAGGCCAGTAGTAGATTCATATTTCATTTGGAAAATTAATGCCCTACTCACAAGACCTATGCATTAATAATCATTAAAACTGCATGTGCCTTGTTTATTGGTTGGGAACTTGTTGTGAAACATCCAATTTTATATAGTTGATGATCAGATGTAAATTTTGCTCACATTATTAATACAAACACATGATATTGATGTAGAATATCATGCTTGTATATTTTTGGTGTAAAAATTTAAAACCATTTTAAACAAATTATGTATTGGTGTATGATGACCTGGATTTGATGTTATCAAGTTTCGTAAAGCAGAGATGAAAAAAAAAAAAATCAAACATCCAACCATCTTCCATTAAATCAACTTTTTACTCTTGGAAGTCATTTTTTTTGTTGTTGAAATTTGATACACTGTGTTTAGATTAATGGTTTACAAAAAAAAAAAATTTTATTTGATATACGAAAATTTTGAAATCTTAAAATGGAAATTCTGTCTTGAGTAACTTGATACCACAAAGATCCTGATGTGTATAGATTATTCAATACAAATTTGTAATTAGTTATTAGTTGAATTAATATGCTAATATTTGCCAGTCATTATATAAATAAACGAAATGTATGAAAAATCCATAACATCATTTCTTTGGTATCTAATCTTTTATCTGTCAAATTAAACACTATATTTTCAATTCTTGTCAACTTAATCAATCAATAATATTAAATATGATATTATATTCCTCATTTATGTATTTTGGGAGCAGTGTGATATTCTATTCCTCTGCTCTTTCTGTATATTGTATAAGATCACCATTCGTGCCATTGTCACACTTGCTACAGCTGTCTAACTTTCTACTACACAAATGTGCTTCATCTTGGAATAAATATGTTAATAAGTGTATTTATTATTGTTGTTGTTTATTTTATTTTTTTTTGTATCTTTATATGACCAGTATAAGTCTCCCAATTCAGCTTGAATGGGGAGAATGAATGCCTGCTCACAGGATCTATGCATTAATTGTTATTAAATCTGCACATGCTTTGTAAGATGGATTTGTGTAAATGAAATAAGTTTAGTTCACCATCATTGCCCTACATCCATGGTCAATTCATCCATAAACAATTTTTGTTATCGCTGTTTCTTGAGAAGTACTCTATGGATCTCTCTCAAATTTCTATGTAGGTTCCCCTTGGTCCCTACTTTCGTGTGTTTGATTTTGAGACTGATCTGAGGAAAAAATGGCGAAGAGGTAGTCATCTGTTTGTTATTGCTATTTCTGGAGAAGTACTGGATGGATTTCCCTCAAATTGTCTATGTAGCTTTCCTTTGGCCCATAGTTGTATTTATTTCAATTGGGAACTGATCAGAAAAACAAAATGACTGAAAGGGGACCATTTTGGGTTTTGATTTTAAATGCTTGTAATTGCTCTTTCTAGTATTCTATTGATTTCTATCATATTTCATATGTAGGTTTCCATTGGTCCCCAATTGTGCCCATTTGATTTTGGGTCTGTATTAAGTGTCACTAAAACTTTGTAATATTGCCTTCAATGTCACTGGAACCTTGTAATATTGCCTTCAGTGTTACTGGAACCTTTGTAATATTGCCTTCAGTGTTACTGAACTTTGTAATATTGCCTTCAATGTCACTGGAACCTTGTAATATTGCCTTCAGTGTTACTGAACCTTTGTAATATTGCCATCAATGTCACTGAACTTTGTAATATTGCCGTCAGTGTCACTGGAACCTTGTAATATTGTCATCAATGTCACTGAACTTTGTAATATTGCCTTCAGTGTTACTGGAACCTTGTAATATTGTCATCAATGTGACTGAACCTTTGTAATATTGCCTCCAATGTCACTGGAGCCTTGTAATATTGCCTCCAATGTCACTGGAACCTTGTAATATTGCCTTCAGTTTCACTGAACCTTTGCTCTCTCCAAAAATTCCTGTGACGTCAGACATTCATGAAATATCTAGGTCAGACAAGTATTTCACCTTTGACCTAGGTCAAGGTTACCCTCCACATAAAGTGCGAAGTAGCAATGGTATTTCACCCCTACTGTCTTCATTTGAATTGGATATGATGCCACATTCTATGAATTATCGTTTTGCATCAGGAGAAGGCAAATCCCATATTGCAGCAACTGATAGCGTAAAAAAAAGACCGAGAAAAATCATGAAAAGTATAGACTCCAGATTTGTTTCTTAATTGACAAGGCAAAAGTGGGACAAAATGGAGAACTCCTATGTAATAAAGCGGTATTGTCTGTAAATGTCTAGGTGTCATCGGTTATTATGACGAAAGTTATTTTCAAAAGCGGGGTATGTAATGGTGTACCAAGTGCAAATCCTCACGTAATTAATAAATAGATATAGCTTATCATCCAGGAGAAAGGGACATAACTCAAGGAGCAGTGAATGCCTCTCCCATTGGCCATTCTATGAAATGGCCTAAATATTAATGTATCCAAATTAGATCGAAATATCCATAATACGCTCCTCGGGAGTAATTCATTATGGATATAACCAACATTAATGATAAACTCGAGCACGTGAAGAAATATTATTTATTGTGAATTAAGATCATAAAACAACAATCAAATGGACAGGAGATAAGGATATGATCAACACGTAAGAATAAGGACAAGGGGTAAGAGTTTAGACAGGAGCTAGGAATATGATCAACACGTAAGAATAAGGACAAGGGGTAAGAGTTTAGACAGGAGCTAAGAATATGATCAACACATAAGAATAAGGACAAGGGGTAAGAGTTTAGACAGGAGATAATAATATGGACAGGAGATAAATATATGGACAGGAGATAAGGATATGGACAGGAGTAAAGAATATGGACAGGAGATAAGGATATGGACAGGAGATAGGGATATGGACAGGAGATAAGGATATGGACAGGAGTTAAGGATATGGACAGGAGATAAGGACATGGACAGAATATAGACAGGAGATAAGAATATAGACAGAAGATAAAATATGGACAGGAGATAAGGATATGGACAGGAGTAAAGAATATGGACAGAATATGGACAGGAGATAAGGATATGGACAGGAGAAAGGGATATGGACAGGAGATAAGGATATGGACAGGAGATAGGGATATGGACAGGAGATAAGGATATGGACAGGAGTTAAGGATATGGACAGGAGATAAGGATATGGACAGGAGTAAAGAATATGGACAGGAGATAAGGATATGGACAGGAGATAGGGTATGGACAGGAGATAAGGATATGGACAGGAGATAGGGATATGGACAGGAGATAAGGATATGGACAGGAGTTAAGGATATGGACAGGAGTAAAGAATATGGACAGGAGTTAAGGACATGGACAGGAGATAAGGACATGGACATGATATAGACAGGAGATAAGAATATAGACAGAAGATAAAATATGGACAGGAGATAAGGACATGGACAGGATATGGACAGGAGATAAGGATATGGACAGGAGATAAGAATATGGAGAGGAGATAAGGATATGGACAGGAGATAAGAGTACAGACAGGAGATAAGGATATGGACAGGAGATAAGGATATGGACAGGAGATAAGAATATGGACAGGAGATAAGAGTACAGAAAGGAGATAAGGATATGGACAGGATACAGACAGAAGATAAGGATATGGACAGGAGATAAGAATATAGACAGAATACAGACAGAAGATAAGGATATGGACAGGAGATAAGGATATGGACAGGAGATAAGAATATAGACAGAATACAGACAGAAGATAAGGATATGGACAGGAGATAAGGATATGGACAGGAGATAAGAATATAGACAGAATACAGACAGAAGATAAGGATATGGACAGGATATATACAGGAGATAAGAATATGGACAGGATATGGACAGGAGATAAGAATGTGGACAGGAGATAAAATATGGACAGGAGATAAGGATATGGACAGGATATGGACAGGAGATTAGAATGTGGACAGGAAATTTGGATATGGACAGGGGATTAGAATGTGGACAGGAGATAAGAATATGAACATGATAAAATGCATCTGCAGTTAATGGAGACTACGTCAACATGGAATGTGAATAATGATATGATTGTGATGCATAACTAACAAAATGCAGAAACTATATTTAACTGTTTGTTAATCTGTATGTAGCGACTCCATGTGTATATGATGGATATCGATTATTGATTAGTTTAAATTTACAAGACAAAAATTAGATCAACACTGCCGCTCACACGAGACTGAATCTACGAAATTACTCTCACGAGCAATTAAAATTAACTTCACCTTTACTTTAAAAGGATATCTGTTTACAATGTCGGTCGCTATATATCTTTACTCTTCTTGAAGTCGAGGATAATTCCGTCTCTTTAACAATATCCTATTGAACTATGCTACGTGATAACGAAGGCGAAGTGAATTCAATTTCAAAGGTACAGTCCTATGTATTGTTATGTTATAGCATGAAATTAAATCTGATCAAAGGAAAAAATCTTATCAATCTTCGTCATCAGTGAAAACAAAGTACAATGTGGAAAAAATATCGAAAATTTAAATTACGGTATTACAGAGTACATTTTGAAGCTATTAATTTATTTTTTTCTATATACACATCTTGCTGAGGTATGTTCACACTGGAGGACTTCCGGAAAATTTACCATTCAAACAGTCACCAATGCAAACCTAAAAGGAAAGCAACATTATTTTTACTGATGGCATAATCAAATGAATAGTGATGAAATATTATTCAAAAACTAAATTATGGTTACAATAATCTTGACTAGATTGTAATATGCCAACTTATTCAGTATACTATGCTTTTTAGTGATCAAGACCACACTTTTTAAATAGGCAATATTGTAACATTGAGCAAGTTATCTGCATAAACATTTTGTAATGAAAATCACTCTAACAGATTTGAAGTCATTTGACTCTATATCAAATGTCATGAAAGGTGTAATTTTTATGCAATAAATTTTACCACAGTGTAAATGTTGATTTAGGAAAGAGAGACAAAAGAGCTAAAATTAATTGTTATTCCATGTACCTTTATAATCAGCATTAATATTTGATTTACTTACATTGTCCATTTCACCATGAAAGCCGTCTTGGTCTAAGCATTTTCCAATTTTCAGTGACTCTAACCCTACTTTCAGTTCACCTGAAATTTAAAGTTGTTTGCTACATTATCAAACGTACCTCCTTTTCAGAAGAGTTGACTATTTATACCATCTATGATATAGGATGTAATTATGAATTGTATTCGTTATTTATTAGATCGATTTGACGGAACAAAAGACATACAATATGAATAGAATAGCACCTGTTAACGCATATTTCGACTTAGATAGCACCTGTTAACGCGTATTTCGACTAAGATACAATAGAACTGAATTACGAATTATACTGCGTCCTTCTAGCACTCGCCACTGATGCCGAGGGACTAAATTTTGAAAGCTATGAAATGACTGAGGAAACCAATATTAATCAAAAGAGTGTTGTGTACCAGTGTAAATTATTAACGATGTTAATATTTGAATGATTACAACGTGTTGTTATTGTTAGTGTAATGTTTACGGCGCTGCAGGTAAGTGTGCTTTCCCCACTACATTGCCGTAAGAGTAAATAGATATGGGATCTTATCTGCTATTTCTTAGCGACGTGTTTTCCTAATAACACTCTTGACGCTGTCTCCCGTATGAACTTAACCTGACCGGTCGCCTTGTGTTCTGTCCAGAGGCCGAGAGGAAGACTGCTTTGTGTTCCGTGACAGAGAGGAAAGTTTTTACTTCTGTCCAGTGGCCGAGAGGAAGGCTTTGAATTCTGTCCAGTGACCGAGAGGAAGGCTTTGGATTCTGTCCAGTGACCGAGAGGAAGGCTTTGGGTTCTGTCCAATGGACGAGAGGAAGGCTTTGGAATCTATCCAGTGGTCGAGAGGAAGGCTTTGAGTTCTGTCCAGTGACCGAGAGGAAGGCTTTGGGTTCTGTCCAATGGACGAGAGGAAGGCTTTGGAATCTATCCAGTGGTCGAGAGGAAGGCTTTGAGTTCTGTCCAGTGGCCGAGAGGAAGGCTTTGGATTCTGTCCAGTGACCGAGAGGAAGGCTTTGGGTTCTGTCCAATGGACGAAAGGAAGGCTTTGGGGGTCTATCCAGTGGCTGAGAGGAAGGCTTTGGGTTCTGTCCAGTGGCCGAGAGGAAGGCTTTGGGTTCTGTCCAGTGGCCGAGAGGAAGGCTTTGGCTTCTGTCCAGTGGTCAAGAGGAAGGCTTTGGGTTCTGTCCAGTGGCCGAGAGGAAGGCTTTGGGTTCTGTCCAGTGGCCGAGAGGAAGGCTTTGGCTTCTGTCCAGTGGCCGAGAGGAAGGCTTTGGCTTCTGTCCAGTGGTCAAGAGGAAGGCTTTGGGTTCTGTCCAGTGGCCGAGAGGAAGGCTTTGGGTTCTGTCCAGTGGTCAAGAGGAAGGCTTTGGATTCTGTCCAGTGACCGAGGGGAAGGCTTTGGCTTCTGTTCAGTGACCGAGAGGAAGGCTTTGAGTTCTGTTTCCTGGCCGAGAGGAAGGCTTTGAGTTTTGTCCAGTTGTCGAGAGGAAGGCTTTGAGTTCTGTCTAGTGGCCGAGAGGAAGGCTTTGGATTCTGTTTAGTGGTCGAGATGAAGTCTTTGGGTTCTGTCAAAGGGACGAGAGGAAGGCTTTAGATTCTGATTAGTGGTCGAGATGAAGTCTATGGGCTCTGTCAAATGGACGAGAGGAAGGCTTTGGATTTTGTCCAGTGACCGAGAGGAAGGCTTTGGATTCTGTCCAATGACCGAGAGGAAGGCTTTGGGTTCTGTCCAATGGACGAGAGGAAGGCTTTGGATTCTGTCCAGTGACCGAGAGGAAGGCTTTGAGTTCTGTCCAGTGACCGAGAGGAAGGCTTTGAGTTCTGTCCAGTGGCCGAGAGGAAGGCTTTGGATTCTGTCCAATGACCGAGAGGAAGGCTTTGGGTTCTGTCCAGTGGACGAGAGGAAGGCTTTGGGTTCTACTCAGTGGTCGAGAGGAAGGCTTTGAGTACTGTCCAGTGGCCGAGAGGAAGGCTTTGGATTCTGTCCAGTGACCGAGAGGAAGGCTTTGAGTTCTGTCCAGTGGTCGAGAGAAAGGCTTTGGGTTCTGTCCAGTGGTCGAGAGAAAGGCTTTGGATTCTGTCCAGTTGTCGAGAGGAAGGCTTTGGGTTCTGTCCAGTAGCCGAGATGAAGGCTTTGGGTTCCGTGGCCGAGACTTACCCGTGTCTTACAAGTAGTAGTTTCTACTTTCTGCTTAACGTTCAGCATTTTGGTAGTATAATGACTAGTTAGCCCATTGTCAGTATAAATTCACCCGTTGTGGTGTCTTGTTGGATGCATTCGACAGTGCACTTCTGTTCTGGTGTTATTGCCGTACTATTAAATGAGGGCTTACACAAATATATCACATCCTCTCAAAAATACAGTCGCACAACACATGAGGCAAACAAGAAAGCATTTTTTATTAGATGATATGAGAGAACCCGAGTTAAAACGTACCAGTGAGTTCCTTTGTATCGAACTGTCTTTCTATGGATGTTCCTGTGTCATAATCAATCGTGTTTGTAGATGCCGTGAGTCTCTGTCCGTCAAACAACAGTTCCAAGGATGTCCACTGGTTAGGCTGGCAGGAAAATGACGTATATCATTAGATTGAACCGAGGTCATGAATATCAAATACTGATCAGTATCTCAGGGACATTCTGTATAGACCACATAGTGACGAGGTCTAATCATCACATGTTTATTTTTATTTTACTTTACAATGACAATAAAAAGTACACGATACACTGGCTAGTAAGACTAGAAGTGTTATGACCCGTACTTCTATAAAAGGAGTGAATGGGTTTATTTACATTTTCGTCATTCATCAGAAATCAATAGAGATCCGATTATATGAATACAGACTCAACACTACCGGAACCAAAACAACCATACTGTATCAATGTTCCTTCTAAAGTGATATCATATTATTTAGTCTACCTTGTCAACGGCTTTCACGGATAATCATGTGAAGTGATCTCACGGAAAACCTTATAAAGTTGTCTCACGGATCGCATTTTAAAGTTGTTCCACGGACAACATTGTAAAGTGGTCTCATGAACTGCATTTTAAAGCGATCTCGAAGACAACCTTGTAAAGTAGTCTCATGGACTGCATTGTAATGTTGTCTCACAGACAACCTTGTAAAGTGGTCTTATGGACTGCATTTTAAAGCGATCTTGAAGACAACCTTGTAAAGTGGTCTCATGGACTGCATTGTAATGGTGTCTCACAGACAACCTTGTAAAGTGGTCTTATGGACTGCATTTTAAAGCGATCTTGAAGACAACCTTGTAAAGTGGTCTCACGAACAACCTTGTTATTTGGTCTCACAAACAACCTTGTAAAGTGGTCTCATGGACAACCCTGTAAAGTGGTCTCACGGACAACCTTGTAAAAAGGGATCAGGGGCAACCTTGTAAAGTGGTTCCGCGAACTACCAGGTAGAGTGGACCCAACGACTACCTTATAAAGAGGTTTCACGGATCGCATTTTAAAGTTTTCCCACAGACAACATTGTAAAGTGGTCTCACGGACAACCTTGTAAAGAGGTCTCATGGACTGCATTGTAACGTGGTCTCACAGACAACCTTGTAAAGTGGTCTCATGGACTGCATTGTGACGTGGTCTCACGGACAACCTTGTCGAGTGGTCTCACTGACAACCTTGTAAAGGGGTCTCATGGACTGCATTGTAATGTTGTCTCATTGACAACCTTTTAAAGTGGTCTCATGGACTGCATTTTAAAGCGATCTCGAAGACAGCCTTGTAGGACAACCTTGTAAAGTGGTCTCACAGACAACCTTGTAATGTTGTCTCACGGACAACCTTGTAAAGTGGTCTCACGGACAACTTTGTAAAGTGGTCTCACGGACAACGTTAAAAAGTGGTCTCATGGACTGCATTTTAAAGCGATCTCGACGACAACGTTGTAAAGAGGTCTCATGGACAACACTGTAGAGTGGACTCCAGGGCAACCTTGGAAGGAGATCTCCTGGAATACGTTGTAAATTGAAGTTACAGAGTATCTTAAGAAGTCTCAAGGACAACCTTATAAAGAGGTCACGTGGACAACCTACCTTGTAAAGGGGTCTCACGAACAACCTTGTAAAGTGGTCTCACAGACTGCATTGTAAAGTGGTCTTATGGACAACCTTGTAAATTATCTCACGGACTATCTTGAAAAGTGGTCTCTCAGTGGGACAGCAGTAATCTTTTACTGTAGACGAATAATATTATCTTTTTTACGAATATAATGAATACACCCCAGTCATCAAGTTAGAGGTATATACTCACCTGAAACGTATGTGCAATACTAGCATTTCCATTATTCTTCGTAGTACCTAAGAATATCACATAGTGTCTTCCAATGGATTTATCAATAATAATGGCCAAGGAAGGCGAAAGTCGTGAACCTCTGGCTGATATCACGGTTCGACAATTAGAAATAAGCACTTGTCGATCTTGTCCCATCCCAGGTTTAGACTTAAACAACATTTTTATGTTCATTTTCTTTGAGAAACGTTCATTGAATGAATACATTGGAATAGCCAGGTATGATCCACCATTAAAATGACCACGCCCACCACTAATGTCAACGTTATTATGGTTTTCTACTTTAACTGGATTCATGACCTGCTCAAAGTCGACGCATACTTCCGGTTTGCATTCTGTGAAATGTAAAAGAACAAAAATGAAGTACACAAAGAAACATGAAAGAATTGATGTATTGAATGCCGTATTTTCCAATCTATCATATAATTTGATCTTATGGAAGCAGGATGACACTCTGATAGCCAAGGAATAGCTGGTGAAAACCGTATTTGATATTATTATATGACTGGTATTTTTATTGCAGCTGATTGGTCAAAACGGACGTGAAAAGTCTTGATCAATACCGATATTATCTATTTTCCCAAAAAATTAGAAACGATACAGTTGATCGGATCTGTTTGGTCTAAAAATAGCACTGGCAGGGCGATACGTGATGTATTGCATGATCTGGTCTAAAATTTCCATGACGCAATGCTCGTCGCTAACTATAAACAATGAAGATGTCAGACGGTGAGGAAAACGCCGAACCAAAAAGTCGCTTTTTATTAACGAGGATCAAATAATGGTAGAGACAACCTGTCCAGGATTCTGCACTAGTAGTAGTAGTAGTTTTGTAAGTCATTAATTATTGTAATTAGTCTAGTGTGCGTTCATTGTCTTATTATTCCAGTCCCGTGTCACTGTCTACACTTGTGTTGTCAGTTGTGAAGTGCCACGTGCTTGTGTTTATGTCCTGTCACCTGTGACCTTTTATATTACCCTTTACCGGTCTTTCTCTTCAACTAGACAGATACAAGACAAAACCACAAGACTTGATGAAGAAGCAAGCAGAGTCGGACTTAAGATCAACAAAGATCAAACTCAAGTGATGAGAATCAATGCACGGAACGAGAGTACCATCAAACTAAGAGGTATGGACATCGAGGATGTAGAACAGTTCACATACCTAGGAGCAACAGTGTGCAAAGAAGGTGATGGAATGAAAGACATTAAGAACAGACTTTCAAAAGCCAGGGGAGCATTTATCCGGCCCAAGCATGTATGGAACTCAAGCAACATCCCGAGGAAAACAAAATTGAAACTGTACAAGGCATTAGTAATACCTGTCCTACTCTATGGATGTGAAATGAATAAGGGTGATGATCGGATGGTAGATGTTTTCCACAACAAGTGCCTCAGGAGAATTCTCAAAATACAATGGCAAGAACACATAAAGACGGAAGAAATATTGGAAAGAGCGAGCATGAGACCAATTAGCCAGGAGATAAAATGCCGCAGATGGAAACACATTGAGACAGGACAGAAACAACGACTGCAACGTTGCCTTAACCTGGGCCCCAGAAGGGAAGCGGAAAAGAGGAAGACCGAAGATGACGTGGAGAAGAACAGTGGAAAGAGAGAGAGAAGAAGCAGGCTGGAAATCCTGGAACGAGGTGCGGACAGTGGCAACAGACCGGCAGAGATGGAAGCGTTCTGTGAAGGCCTTATGTGCCACGAGGCACGAAGTGGATAGGTAACAGGTTACCAACATGTGACCACATTCCTGAAATCTGTTCAACACCTGGTACATGCAGTAAGGGCATTTGCCGCCCAGACTACTCACCTGGACAAAGCCAGTCTCTTCAATCTCAGGTATATATTGTAATAGTTGCTGTAAATTATTTTATTGATATATTTAATGAATAGCAATTGTATATATTTATACAATTAGTGGTAACACCTTGTAATTATATTATTCCGATTATTGTGTTTTTTTCTATATCTAAAACTCAGTGAGATGTATTCAGTCTGTCAGCCATTATTGATAATTATCTATTAATTAACTATTAGAAGCTAGTATAACGCTGTAAAGTGGTATGTTATTATAACAGTATCTAATATCGTATTACTTATCAGTAGATCAGGTACCGTAGCATGACACTTACCCATGCCAGTAGGGCATGGAACCCTTGTCGTTTCAATAGAGTAAGTTGTTAATGAAATATGAAATTATAGTAGTGTTTTTATCATTATCTACGTTGAAGTTTATTCTGAAACGTACTTTGTGGAATAGATAAATTGTAATCTATCTCTGTGCCAATATATTTGATTTTAATCAAGGTAGTTCAGGTTGTCTATATGTCATGTTTTGAAGTGTTGTTAGAGTAATAATATATTGTTAAAGAAAGTCTTGCTGTCCGTGTGAAACATATAGTGAATATTGTCTGTTTTATTGTTTTTGGGGTGTTTTATGTGAATTGGAATTGAATAAACCTGTGCATCGGAGATACTGAGTTGCATCATGCAATGAAATTTACTATTGTATTGTATTGTAAACGTGCAAGGTCAAACGATGACCTGTGATGTACGCCCCACAAATTTATCGATATAGGCGATGAAATAAATTTTCAAACAAAAAACATTGAAATGCAGTTTTGACACGATATTCTTACCTCTGGGTAGAGTGTCTAAAACATCTGCTGTAGGAAAGTCACAAGTACACTTCTTAACACTGAAGACAAGGTTTCCAGGACAAGACATCACGTGGTTTTTGTTTGTATTACCAATGGACTGAAAGGATCCCGTACCGACCGCTTCAAGAGAACAGTCAGCTGGAAGTAGGAAATCGTTCACAACATCATAATAAATTCAATATATAATGTAAAATAATTGGGGTTTATTTCCATTGGTTTTGTGGGCATTTTACAAATTCACACCAGCTCTTAGATTCATTTAAGTAGATCTAATGAGTTATAATTACCCACGAAACCCAAGTATCAACGCAGTAATGATTTTCTGAAGAAAATAAATTGAGCCCACGAAAATATACAGTTTTACAGTACTAGATTGTACCTAAATATTGACCACAGCGATATTAGATGAATTCAGTATATATGAACTCTTCCCCTCTACATCCGTGTGGTAAAAACTAGAAATTTATAGCAGTGTCATCTCGTAAACAATCCTTCTTTCAAATAGTATGTACTTTCGCGAATTTCACGACCAAGGTCGCGAAAGCAAATAGTTCCGATGAAATACTTTACAATGATGATGACATAGCGAAAGTGAATAACGCGAATTTTGTGATACGAAACAAAAACAAAAAAAATTAACAAAATTTCCGAAAGACCATGTGATTTGTTTGTTAGTAATCAGAAAATGATAACACAATTGTTACTTATCTAGGACACACATATTCGTAATAGACCTGTGTGTCCTATCTAATGTAATTATGTTGTGATCATTTAAAACGGCCATTTTATTATTGACATATTTTCGATATATTTCATTTACACTAAAGCTGGATGCTTTTGATGAACACAAACGCTCTGCTATATAGACTCAATTACATGCATCAATTGATCTTTAACTCGACTTCACCTAAAAGAAATATGTATTCTGTCAAATGGAACAGCCATTCTGAAAAATTGCTGTTTCTGTGCCCTTAATACTGTAAAATGGTGTGTTTTCGCGGTGCTCTTTTTTGTTTTGTTTTTCGCGGTGTTCATTTTTTGTTTGTTTTTTTGTTTTTGTTTTTAATTTATTGTTTTATGGATAATTGATGTTGTGGATAAATAGAGCTCAATACTTCTACTTATTTTAACAGTAATCAAAATAAATTACCAAAATTAACGATTTCATAAAACTCATAAAAATTGTCATGCGCTGGATATCATTTATTGTATCATAATTACACATCTTCTGGTTAGAGTAAACATTTCAGTGTGATGCACAATTACTCACGATTTGGAGAGGGCTGTATTGTTACTGCGGTGACTTCCTGTCTCTCTAATTGTATAGCATCTACTGGACACGGCATAATACACACGTCATCATCAACACAAGTTCCATTCATAAATGATTGTCCTTCAGCACAGCACATGGATTTGGACTTCTTTTCATGACATTCGTAGAAACTACGACAATTGAGGTCGTTCGGGTACGAGATGATGTCTATGTTCTGACAGGGGTCAGGACATTCGGTCGTGCAGTTACTGTCTTCTACACATCGACCAGACCTGTAGGAGAAAAACTTCTCACAACATACCGGAACAGAATGTCCTCTTTCACATGACCAAAATGCACGGCAGTTATCATTAAGGCCATTTTCATAGGATTTAATTTCAGGATTTCTACACAGGTCTGAAAAAGAATCATTATGAAAATATATATTCCTTGTATAAATTATAAACTCTATATGTTTATTTTGATTTTTGCATCCATAAGGTTTTATTGTTATTGTAATACACATTAGGGCCCGTATTCATGAAATCTTAGTCAGGCTTGAATAGCTGTTTTGTGCCCAGGTTCAAATATGTTTTGCGATAAAGCTGTCACTCGAACGTAGAGTTTTTCAATGAATAGGATAACATTTTGAAATGCTTCTATGCTTGTTTGTTAAAGTCTTGTTTCATTATTTCAGCGGGTATAATGAGCATGAGAATGGTTTCATAAACACGGGTCCTGGTGTTCCGAAGAGGTGAGCGTCTTCTGCTTCATTGTCGACACTCGCAAGGTGAATTTGTATACAAGTAACAAGTATCGTTCTAAAAATCATGACTAACATAAAGCATGTTCAATAGCAAAAATCATGAATTAATTTTAAATAAATATATATGTTTTCATGACGTCAACTTAACTTTGGTTGAATATTGCAGACTTTGTATAGCAAGAGATTAACTTAATATCTATCAGCAAATTATCGTTTTTGAAAGTAACTCGAGTTCAGTTTGTTGTCATAAAGGGTTTGAGTATCCAATGTGAAAACTAAACAGGTATAACATCATAGTAAACAGAAAGGAATGTGTTTACTTTTCTGCATGTGGGAGCTTAATCGATAGGTGTTCATTATAAATATAATTCTACCTGTGGGGCAATCCGCCATGTGGGAGAATTGGCACGTGTTTGACGAGTCGGACCAAAACGTTCCGAAACCACAGAACATGGTAAAAGCTGTCCACTTCTCATTTTGATAGATACAATGAACGTACTTCCTGCAGTCACGTGGATGTTTTAGGAAACACGAATTTCTTACGGTGATACCCGGGTTGCATTTTTCACAAATAGCTGGAAGTAAATACCGGTACGTTTGTTTTTATGTAATACTGATTATTTTGTATCAAACACCAACCATGTATTAACATTTAGAAATGATTTTACTCAAAGATTAATAAACCTGTAGATGATAAGAGTACAATCAATTAGATAGGGAAATTCAACATCCTCGGGTAAATATTCCTTCATAATTAACAGAACCAGATTCATAAATATTACATTTCAAATTTTGTGTCAGATGCTAATTGGTCTACATCCGATCACGTGGTACACTACGTATGCAATTCAACATCGAATTGTACCAGCGAATGTTCTGTGACGTCGCATAATTTCAGCCAATCAGATTTTTTCATCAAGTTGCGCAACAGTGCAATACGATGTTAAGAATGTGGTATTAATGACGCTGTGGTGAACGGTATGGGGTAAAATGTATTTCAATGGCATGAAACCATGCATCTTAAAAAAGATGTATTTCTTCAATAACACGACAAAGATAAATGAATATTGGTTTGTAAAAACTGAAAGTCGAGTTAAAGTACTGAACTAACCTGAATCATATAGTTTATCCTTATCGGCATTAACTTCTTCTAATGTAACATATGGTCCAGAAAACAACAAATCCGTGTCCTTGACGACATTTCCGGTGACCAGGTCACTTCCGATTGTTTCGATGTTATGTGCCGATGATAATTCTGTGCCTTCTACGACCTCAGTATTAGTTACAGCAACGTCTTTTTGGTTACCTGTAGGAACTGAATCAACTTGGTTTCCTGAAGAACCTGTGTCAATTTGAACATCGGGGGCACCCGCGTCGATTTGGTCACCAGAAAGGATTGCTGCTTGGTCACCTGAAGGACCTGTGTCAGCTTGGTTACCAGAGGGAACGGCATCAACTGGACTTCCAGATGGAACAACATTTACTTGGTTTCCAGAGGGAGCTGAATCAGCTTGGTTTCCAGAGGAAACAACATCTACTTGGTCACCAGATGGAGCTGCGTCAATCTGGTTTCCAGAGGGAACCGCATTAATTTGGTTTTCAGATGGAACAGCGTCAATTTGGTTTTCAGGGGTAACTGTATCAATGATATCACTTATTGATGGTAGTTCTATGGTGTCATTTAGAGAATTATCGAAAACACCTGCAGGTATTTCAATAACACCATCAACAACTGCAGTATCATTAGCGGGAGCGCTATCTGTAAACACAAAATTGACATACTGTAAGCTGTTTTGTATAAGGTACTGAATTCATGTTGACACGACGAAAGGTTGTGGTTTTATCAAATGCACACTTTCGAAATTGTAAAATTTGAGTGAGTAGTAAAACATCTCACCTGACATACGGAGTAGAACCAACAAACCAAACAGCCGAAATGTATGAAGCATCTAAAGTAGAAGAGAAATAACACTAAGTTCATGTTCCATAATCAAATGTACATGTATATCATAAAAAAAACTATTGAATGTTGAGCTTATTTTCTTTGAATGTCTTTAGTGTTCTCTCTTTATTTATTTTTCCCCCTTTGATGTTGAAAATGCGAGTACACCCAAAACAGGAGGTAACATTCAGTGTTTCAAATAAGGTTAATAAAAAGCAAAAATTGTTTTCTTAAAGTCTATTCGAATTGTTTTATCTAACATGCCATGTGTTATTTTACTACATCCGTCACATATGTAACTACACCTGTCATATATTTTACTACATCTGTCACATATGTAACTAAATTCGTCACATATTTATTACACCTGTCACATATGTTACTACATCTGTCATATATTTTACTACATCTGTCACATATGTAACTAAATTCGTCACATATTTATTACACCTGTCACATATGTTACTACATCTGTCACATATTTACTACACTAGTCACATACTTTACATCTGTCACATATGTTACTAAATTCGTCACATATTTATTACACCTGTCACATATGTTACTACATTTGTCACATATTTACTACATCTGTCACATATTTACTACACTAGTCACATACTTTACATCTGTCACATATGTTACTAAATTCGTCACATATTTATTACACCTGTCACATATGTTACTACATTTGTCACATATTTCAATTTTGAATATTATTTCAACAGAGGTTTTAATAGTGGACACCATGCTTAAGGATCTTCTCTTGTGAAGCCCGACCAAAGGAACATTTATTCTGGTAGTTTATTTTTGAGATATTTGGGAGAGTTAGCCATTACAGTGTAATTTACAGTAAGCTATAAAGTCCTACGTGAACAGTGTAGTCTGAGAGTAAACTATGAAGTCCTACGTGAACAGTGTAGTCTGAGAGTAAACTATGAAGTCCTACGTGAACAGTGTAGTCTGAGGGTAAACTATGAAGTCCTACGTGAACAGTGTAGTCTGAGAGTAAACTATGAAGCCCTACGTGAACAGTGTAGTCTGAGAGTAAACTATGAAGTCCTACGTGAACAGTGTAGTCTGAGAGTAAACTATGAAGTCCTACGTGAACAGTGTAGTCTGAGAGTAAACTATGAAGTCCTACGTGAACAGTGTAGTCTGAGGATAAACTATGAAGTCCTACGTGAACAGTGTAGTCTGAGAGTAAACTATAAAGTCCTACGTGAACAGTGTAGTCTGAGGATAAACTATGAAGTCCTACGTGAACAGTGTAGTCTGAGGATAAACTATGAAGTCCTACGTGAACAGTGTAGTCTGACAGTAAACTATGAACTCCTACGTGAACAGTGTAGTCTGACAGTAAACTATGAAGTCCTACGTGAACAGTGTAGTCTGAGAGTAAACTATGAAGTCCTACGTGAACAGTGTAGTCTAAAGTTAAGCTATGAAGTCCTACGTGAACAGTGTAGTCTAAAGTTAAGCTATGAAGTCCTACGTGAACAGTGTAGTCTAAAGTTAAGCTATGAAGTCCTACGTGAACAGTGTAGTCTAAAGTTAAGCTATGAAGTCCTACGTGAACAGTGTAGTCTAAAGTTAAGCTATGAAGTCCTACGTGAACAGTGTAGTCTAAAGTTAAGCTATTGATTGTAATTTGAACATTGCAACAGCTTTTATCCAAATTAACATTGATGTATACAAGAACACAGCTGATGTGCCAGCTCACTTATTGTATCAGACATATAAAAAAGTTCCGTGCAATTATCTGGACTGTATCGATTGTTTTATTTCAAGGATTTAAATAAACGTCTTCGTTTGTTATGTTTTACCATTCAATGAAAATCCAGAGACAGCGGGATACCATTTAACTGACGGAAACACGTTTAACCTGGATAGACATGGATTCAATTTGTAAAACGAAAAGAGTAATTAATATTCTAGTTAGTTTTTGCTAAAACAAATGTCAGTTTCAGTACTGAGCGAATCATTCGAGATGAGCATTTTACACCTCACTAATACAAATCGTTTTCTGTATTATGCGTGAAAAAAAATTTAGTTTATTGAATTACAGTTGTGGGATCGCACAACGTTACACGATGGACATGCACAACATAAATATACGCTTTACATTATAGGGGTGTATATATAAAGTGCAAAATACTAGCTACTGAAGGGTATATCCAACACGTTTCAAAATACACATTTTTCACACAAGCATGATAGATTATGATATATTGTATATGATTGTGTGTAGCCATACTGTAACACTACATTTTTAAACAAGAAAAGTAAAGTAAGAATCATTTTGTGGTTCTATCATAAGATTTACCTGAGAATAAAAAAAAAACACCAAGTAAATCCACAAGTGACAATATCAATTTTTTCTATTTCAATTTTATTTCATTCCATATGCAACAGCATATATGGTTGACAATATACATACAAATAATAACATTTATATTTACACAAGATGGCGGAGAACATTAGCTGTAACCAATAAGATTAAGACACAAAATTCATGAGTGTGCATAGATATCAAGCAAATTTTAAACGGAGCGGTGTTCTGAAGCACCAGTACTCGGAAGTGTTACTTTTGACAAATGAAAATGTATAGATTAATTAACAATTGCTCAAAAATACCTCGAATATCATATGTAAAAATTATCTAAGTATTTATTAATTCTTTTCTCTTTGCCGTAGCATAAATCAGAAACCTGCCAAAATTCCTGAGAGTTTTTACATTATCACTAGGTAATAGTTGAATAATTTTGAATACAGATGACCGACGATAAAATATAAGGCTTGATGTATAAGATACGTAATTCTGAATAAGATGGACATAGTAAAAAAAAAAAAATAATTTCATCTTCTATTTCATTACTGTCGTACAAAGTGCATATTCTTTGAGAAATATTAACACCATGGTATCTACCCATTCAACTTATGTGAGCTCAGCCTATATTTAGACAGTATCATTATTAGCTCACCTGGCCCAAAGGACCAAGTGAGCTGATACCATAGCGTCCTGCGTCCGTCAATTTTTCATTTAAACGACTTTTTCCAAAATACCGGATGGCCTAGAATCATTATATATGGCTGGAAGGTTCCTTTGATGAAGCCCAACAAAGTTTGCGAAAAGAAATGACATTGACCCATATTCAAGGTCACATATGTCAAATGTGTTAAAACCTTTAAACGACTTCTTCCAAAATACCGGAAGGTCTAGAATCATTACATTAGGCTACTATGTTCCTCTTATGGTGTCCTACAAAGTTTGCTTAAAGAAATGACTTTGACCAATCTTCAAGGTCACAGGGGTATAATGTGTTAAACCTTTAAATTAGATTTTTTTGATTATCCAAAACATCTAGGATAATGATATAATTCTAAAATAGGCTCTAAATGATGCCCGGTAATATTTGAGAACAGAAATGACCTTGACCCATATTCAAGGTCACGACAGTCAAATGTGTTAAACCTTTGAACAACTGCTGATTAATCTTAAGGCCTAGGATTATAATACTTGGCCAAAAGGTTCCCTTTATGGTTCCAACATAATGTGTGAAAAATAGTTTGACCCATAAAGCATATTTAAGATCAATTGGGTTAAATTTGGCCAAAGGCTATCATATTTGGCCAGTAAAAGTTTTATAAAGGCATGTATACAAATATGTAGAACCTTCCAATGACTTATTAAAGGAATATATTTGGCTGGGAATTTTCTTGGCATAATTTGTAATAAATTATAAAGACCTTTCACAGTGATGTCACACTGTTCCTAAAAATATATTAGGCCAGGTCACTTGGAGGTCTGAGAGGCTTGAGCTAAGTAATGTGAAAAAACCTACATGTTAGCCAATTACTTATGTTCTATTCACAGCATTAAAATGCAGAAAACATGATCGGAAAGAGAATTGCAAGAGCTCTATTTTGATTTAAGATTCTTCATAATTATAGCATTAATAAATAAGAAATTTTAAGTTGATACCATTTGCTATGCAGTGTTTATAGGCCTACAGTAAACTGTTATCAGTATATCTCCAGTAACCAGGGCTTAACTGACCATAGTGACATCAGTAATGATATGCATGAAACGTTTTATTATTGGTTTCGAGTTAGGATTATGGTTTATAATTACATGTACCTTAACGTTTCCTGTCTTTATATTTAATTGTTGCTATATATTGTTGACTTGTGCAAGTCTCAAATATGTTGTATCTGTGTTTGTAAACAATGATCTAAAGGGCAAGTAAGCTTCTGCTGTCCTGGGTCATCCGTCCAGCTATAACTAAGAGTTTGTTCTGCTATATTGTTTGACCATCTTCTTTCCTTGATTTAAAAGAAAGCTATCAATTATATTTAACTGGATACATCATAAGAAAGCCTCAATTCAACATTGCAAAGACGAGAGGGGGCTGACTACTAAGGGACAGAACCCATATGGAGTAATTTTTCATATTGCTTTTAGCATCTACTGTGGAACATATGCACATGTATAGTACTGTTGGTCGTAAAGATCCAGGTGAGCGATACAGGCCCTCTGGGACTCTTGTTTTCATAGTTAGTGGTTTGTTGAGGTACGATTGTGTAACAAACCGATCAACTATATGTTTATACAATGTACACATTGCGGAGCTTTCAAATCTACTTCTTAAGTCTTGAATAAATATATCCTGTATACGTTGTTTATATATCAATAAGAAATACATTTCATTTGAAACACCTTGTGCCAACCATACACCTCCAAATCTAAATAAATCTGGTTTCGAATGAAACATCCAATTTGCCTTTCAATTCGGCTTCTTGGTATCAAGATCAACTAATTCATAATAACAAGCTCTTAACATACAAGTATCTGTCTTCAATAGTTGTAGCCAATACTTAACAATAGTAACCTTTCGCTGAACATAAGGAAAGCGACATCACTCGAAATACACCATAGAATTATTAACATTTTTCTTTACA